ATGATTTCACTCGAGCCGTGAAATCCAGTTACAGATTTCATCAAGTTACGCTCGTCCGCGGAAATTTGTAACGCTTTACGCGTTTCCAGATGTTCTGCGTTTATTCATAAAATTAATTCCGCGAGTCGAAGGTTGCCGCGTTTCAAGCAGGGAATCGATTCGAGATTACGAAACGCCACTTGCACGTGCTATCTTTCACATAGATATATTTTTTTCTTCTTCCTCTGCGAGAGACGCGTGCTGTGCAGCGTCTCCTCCTGCTTTATTGTGCGGCGCTTAAACTTGTCACCGCACATTACGCCGTCATTCATCTAAATAATCGTCGCCGCTCTAAATCGTGTGATCGAATCGAGCCGCGTTTCGATTTTCTACCGATTCGTTTTTCGACCGAAGTCCAATTTATTTCTGAAAAACGACTCTTAATTCGTGTACACGTTACACTTCGAGTTTGAGACAATTTAACGATCTTTATTATCTTTATTAAAATTTGTCTTGTAAACTGCATAGTTTTAAATTTTCACTTAATTCTCTACCGAATCCTTCCTTTGAATCGTAAATAACTAAACTTGAGAATTTTGTGAAATTGAGAATTTTAAGAAATTTACTGTGTAATATTCTTGGTTCCTTATTTCCAACCTTATTTCCAATCGCTACGATGACCGATCGAGTTTCTCACGTTCCACAAGCGATCTATATGCACCTACTGTTTCGTTCTATTAAGTATAATAATTCTCTGTCAGCCTGAAAATATCAGTATTTTTCTCTCGTAATTTTCAATCAAATTTTCTCCACGATGACGACCCTTCTACTAAGGATCTCCGTATACATCGCCTCTATCCTTCGGTAAACTCGCAATCAGCGCGTTCTAAATCTTCGACAGCTTCCAGATTAATCCTAGTGCACACACTGTGCAGTATTTCTTTTCTTCTGACGGTCGTTTTCGAAACGGTTGATAAGGGGAATTGCGAATTACGATCGCAAATGTTTTCGTCTGCGTGTGAGAGAAAAGGAAGGAAAAATGCGCGCAAATCCCCCCGAAGATGATGCATTGTCGCGTTGCCTTCGTTATCGGTGCAATCATCGAATGCGAATTTTTCCCCCTGGTATAATCGTGTACTTTTCCGCGGTTCTTGGCGCCAGATGCATTATTTCGACAATTATTTTCTCGCCATTTTCGTACCGTCTAATCTACCCCGCTCGCTAGCTTTTGACGTATGGTATCGTCGTGACAGTCAGACGTTTAGTATATATTTGTCTTCCTTCCATTTGTACGACGATTATTGTGAAAATATTTATGGTAAAACGTCGCCGCGATAATTTAGCGACAATAATTTTCTCTGTTAATCAATGGTGCCATGAATTTTAAATATAAACTCCCACTGGTACATTTCTGGTTTTCTTTCTTTCACGAACATTCTTCTTCTTTTTAATTAAACATTCGTATCTGGTTTTCTGGGTCTGCTTATCAGTTCTTCTGTCTTCCACCTGAGTTCCCATAACAATGTACACGGTGACCCTGAATCGTGTGACGCTATTTTAGAATTATATCTGTAGCTTGAGAACATTCTAGAAAACCGGATCAAATATGACGAATGAAAAAAACATCAACATAATGGAATTTTAATAAGATAATTTCAGATTGATTACAATTATCTCGAGTTGAATTACTATACGTCCGAAGGTCTCGCCGGACGTTATCCTATTATTTTAATTGACCGATTGTTTACGCAAAAAGTTTCAGTTACAATTACGCAATTACACGTAGCAGAGTGTGCAGTAGACGTGAATACACTACGAGTTGGCGACAAAACTCGTCCGAATCTCGGATGATAAAGAACACTTTATCGAGCACAAGTACAAAGAGCGGAGTATTTGGTGTCCCGAAGTGTATTAGTGAAATTCGCGACCATGAAACACCCGATGCGAATAACGATCGCGCGTGTCGACCGTGTGTAATTAACGCAGCACATTATTGTCTTCCGTGAAAATCACAATGCACACTTTCATAACGCGTTTGTGAAATCATGCAAGAACGACACGCGTCGTTGAATAAAAACGCAGCATTTATTAATCGCGCTAATTACCCCAGCATCCTTTGAAATCGTCACAAGAGAAGAATTAAAAGAGAAAAAGGAAGGCAAGAAAGAAACTAACGATAGAACAACACTGCACACTCGATAAATTCCGAATTTTTATCCTTGGAACGATGACACAATTTCGAACAATAATCGATCGTCGCACGATTCTTATCTACGTCAGACAATTTAAACAATCCCGTACATTTGTCGTCTAATCTGAACGAACACGAACTATCGTAAATCACAGATAGCTTCGAAATTTGCAGAAGATGGTCGTTTTTTAATGAAGAACGAGTCTCTGGGATTAAACTAGGCCTCGACTTCCGGTTCGAATCGCGCGCCAGAGGATCACTTCGAACGTCCTCTCGTATCAGTTCGCGCATGCGCAGTTCTCGAGAATATTGATAAATCGATGAATGTTTTAATTTATGCAATAATTAATAGTTTCTACTCAAACGAAATAAGATACAGTTAATTAATTTGGGTTAATTCTGTAAAGGAATAATTTTCAGGGTTTTTTGATGATTTTTCACGAGAAAGGTCGGAGCGAAACGCGCGGGAATTTCAAATTTTCGCATTGTTCCACGGTGTTCCGTTACATAAGAAGGATCGACGTCGACAAAACGATCATGCAGTCGCGTGTACAACTCGTAATTCTCTTTTCCTCAAGGGTATCAAGTTTCTAAAGTATGTGTTTTTGCTAGCGGAGTTCCCGAGTCTCCGTATCCGGAGTTTCGCGAACAGATTCCATTACTCAGCGCGCGAGTTCGCCTCGAGCGATCGATGGGGTTGCTTTGTTTCGAGAATCGGGAAGGTTACACGGTTCTTGCGCGATCCTCGAACAAGTTAGCGGCGGTTTTGCACGACGAGAACCGGAAGAATCACCTGTTGCGTTTACGCTTACGAGCGCAGCTGGTCGTGAAAAATGGAAAATCTTTGACGTTGTTTCGCCGGCGAATTTTTCTTCTGTGGAATATCGTAATCTGGGGAGCGACGAAATTTGGGAAGTTAAATTAGAATTGAGCGTTGCATAAAATTGACGATAGTATTGGATAAATCTTTCGTTGGAAGAATGTTTTAATACTTTTGTTAGATGAGAGATAGCGAGGAGAAGAAAAGTGAAATTTGGAGGATTGTTAATAGAAACTTTCGAATTTAAGCCGTGTCTAATTATCTTCGATTGTTGGAGGTTAAATACTCAGGCTAAAATACTCAGTAAAATTTGTATTTTGCGTTGATTAATTTTTTACTGAAAAGTGAATATGATCGAAACAAAGAATGATTGATCTCGTTTTTGCCAGAGGAATGCAAAGCGAAAAAGTTGAAATGAAAAAATAGGAAGAAACGAAGATGTGTAAAGTAGGTAGAATTGTATGAATTTGAAGATAAGTAAACGATCGGACAATAAAATTGCCAGTTGAATAATTACGACGATTAGGAGCATTGTGTGAATTACAAATAGTACGCGGTTTCATTGTGATTGACAATTTTCAATTAGCTTGAAATTTACACTGTAAAATAGGAATATAAATCGTTTATGTAATCGTCAATTGAATTTGCCTTTTAACTGTTATCAAAAAATTGGACTTCTCTTCGACTTTAACTGGTCGACACGTTTCAGCACGTGTTTTTCCTTACATTTCCTTTAACAAGTACATATCGAGGCTAAATTAACATCATTTGCCGATCATATTTCACACCAATCTGACAAATCAGGTTTTTATTACCGGCTGATCTATCATTAGAACATGTCCAATCGTTCAATATCGATCGAGATGGAATTGATTTGAAGCTACTTATATATTTTAGCTCACCGTCTTGATTTCCATATCAGTTGGATCGTATCACTTTTTGAATATCTTATCAATTAGCGCTGCTACTTAACCATCTAATACTTTGTTCGTGCAAAGTCGAAGCGATCGAATCAATCAGCTGGTCGCATAAGCTAATTTCAAATCACGTGCAAGATAAACCCTTAAACACACAGTAATATACATTTGACGAAGAATAATGTAGGTACCATATTCTTTACAATTTCGGTCACACTGAAATATGAGTTCAATTTTTTTTTTTGAAACTTCCTAATTTTTCTTTAATACACAACGGTAGGTTTATGTCAGCAACTCCATTTTAACAATGAAACTGTTAATTCACAAGGTTACAACTGAGATTAGAATGAACTCTCTCGCAGTATTCTGAAATAATGAAAAATTAATATTGTCACTTTCCTTCTATTGGTAATTGAAGTCTTGAATGGCACATTTTAAAGCACCTAATAAATCTACCTATGCAGTTTCACTTAATATATAAATCTCCACTGTTTCATAACATAATCCTTAACCCCAATACCAGGAATGTTAAAAAAGAAAAGCTGACATTTCTTCTAATCTCTCTCAAATTGAACTAGTACCATTAAAAAAAAGAAAAGAGCAGCCTACACTTTAATTTTCGTAGATCTTCAATAACCCGTCCAAAACGAGAACAACTTGTCACCCATCAGAAGGAGTCGATTGCACGCTGTTAGACTCGTTGGTACGCGAGTACACTCACCTGCGCGTCACCTCTCCGTTGCGTCTCGCTTTCGTGTCGCGTTGAACGGCGAGACGAGGACGACGTAGGCTGAAAAAAGCAGGAAGCCGAGGAAAAAAGGAAAAAAAGAGAGAAAAAAAAGGAGCAACGCGTCACGAGAAAATCCAACGCTCGCGCGTTCGCGTGGAACGAGTGGTGGAAAGACGAGTAGTAGTAGCAGCAAGCGGCTGAAATCCCCCGTTTGCAAAGTAGTTCTCCAGTGACGTCACAGACGATCCACGGGCCCAAAGGCATCGTCCAATGGCCGCGCGACGCCGCTGGTGGGGCTTCAGCTTTCGTCTGCACGCGCTATAAAGCCCCACTAATTGTCCACGCGGCGTACAGTCCGTGCGTGCCGCCTTTTAAACGACGATGTAGCGCGGCCTCCGAAAAATCGGGGATCTCGTGCACTCGCGTCGGCCAAGATCACTGTCACGATCGAGATCGAAGCACGTGTTCCGTCTGTAGGATCACGGGGAATCGTTGCGATCTGAGCCACCATTTTCTCTCTCGTCGGTGGAAAAACAGGACCTGAGAAGAGAAAGAAGACGAGGAAGAGGAAGATTGTGAAGAAAGTTGTACCGAGTCCTTCTTCGCTCGTTCGTTTGCTTCAACGACCTTTTTGTGTTCACCCGAGACTATTTTAGTTCTTTTTTTTTTTTTGCATCGAAAGACTGTGTGATACGGTGTGCCAAGTGAAATTTCACGTTCCAGTTGGACAATCGTAGAGGAGAAAAGGTAAACTATCGTCGGTGTGTCTCGTGAATGCTTGTAAATCTTGGATCGTTTCGTTGTTATCTGTTTTATCGTGTACTTAGGAGGAGCTAGATCTTCTTATCTACTTTTTCGTCGATAGTTGGATCGAATCTGTGTTTAGAGCGAGAAGATTTCTCTCGCGAAACTTTGACCTCTTTCGTGATCTCGGATAAATTCACGCAAGATTTTCTTACTTTTCCAACGATAGTTGAGAATCTGTTGGAATAAGAAAAATTCTCTCACATCCGCTTCTCTCCACTAAAATACCATTCACGACAGGTTCTATCACGACCCTGGCTATCTGTAAAGATAAACATCGTCAAGCAGAGTTTCGTTTCCTCTCGACATCACGGTTCATTAATTCCCTTCTCGCGTACCGTCACAGTTCTAACGGCAACTTCATAAAATCCACGTGCAACCCTTTTGTAACCGTAGCAAACGTCACTCCTGTAATCTGATCACGATCAGTAAGAGGCAGAGCGAGAGAGATATCCATTATCCTGGAACGAGCGGTTCGAACATGCCAATTAACCAGCAAGAACAAAGTGATCATGAGTCATGTAGTTATCTATATTCGTTTACCACTTCCTTTCTTCATTTTCCCCGTAGAAAAGGCAAGAAAAGACAAGGAAAAGAGCAACACAGAGGGGCTCGGCTAAGAGGCTCGGTTGGCTCCAAGTGAAACCTTCGATCGAGTCGTTCTACTTTTTCCATTATTATACACGTTCCGCAGGATCGAAGAAACGATCACGCTTATGCATCGATGAATTTCAATGGCGCGCGAGTCTCGCGATCGCGATCGCTTTCCCCCGGATCGATCGTTGCCGAGAATATCACGTATGCTAAATCATGTATCTATGCTAGCTCCGATCCTTCCATTAATTAGTAGCTCTTCTGGGATACCCAAGCTGTTTCAAGGTCCGCACTTTTGTGTAACCGGTTATCGAGGAACATGGACGAGTGAGATCGAGAGATAACGATCGTCCTGAAATCTCGCTCGAATCTGTCGTTTTAACGAGGATCGTTGAAAGTGTGAATTTTAATCGGAGCATTGGAGAAAAGTTATCGTTCCTCTTAGGAAAATTTGAAGATTTCTCTGGAACCTTCATTCTTTGGTTTTTAATAATGTTCCTTTTTTTCCCCGTTGTCTTTTATTAATTATGTCGAGTGTCGAGAATCTGTCATTGATGACTTTTTACTTCATTATTCATACTGGAAGATGTATGAGACACACGCTTCCTTGTTTTCCTTTTCAGACAGGTTGCTAACGGTTCATGGAAATTTTTCATTTTCCATCGCATAATTCAGAGGCTAGATTTTACGAAAGTTTCTTTTCTAATAATGTTGAGCGTTAGAGTTCACTCGATGGTAAATGAAATTTAGCGCTTGTATTTGGATAAAAATGTGTTCGTTTTACTGCACGGTTCGCGTGCGAACCGGAAATCAGTGTTAACCCGGCTGATCGTTGTTCAACGCGAACAGTTCATCGCGAATCACTGGTTCGTACACAGACACGTTGTTTGTTCAACCTGTTTCACAGCGAGTCGAATTTTTTTTTATCGAAGAAAATGTATTTTAACGGCCGTATAGCTTACACGCGATAATTGCACGGTGATAAGGATCTGTTATTAATGCGTTAGCGCTTAAAACGTGCTGGCTTTACATAAACGGAAAGTACAGGTAATTGACAATTTAAGTACCATTATTTCCACTTACGTCCACTTTACAATCTCCTTTCTTTTTTTTCTTTTTCTTTCTTTTCCTCTATTTTATACACGTATATTTCACACTTAATTGCCTTGTGATTAAATTTTACACGAATTTTAATCGATAATTTCAGGACAATTATTCCCCGTTTATGTGCACTTGAGAATCTCTTTTGCTCCTTCTAACACGCATACATTCTTTTTTTAAAGAAAATTTACATTTTACATTGAATTACGTTATCGTTAAATTTTACATGCATATTTTTAAATTTGCACTAGAGAATAATCGATAATTTGAGGACAATTATTACCATTTACGTATACTTTAGAATCTCCTCTCTTTCTTCTTTCGTTTCAAATACCTAAATCTTTTCTAAAGGAAAAATTGATATTTTACATTTAATCGTGTTTCAATTAGACGGTTACAAGGAAATGTTTAAATTGGAGAATAACAAGAGGCGATGATTGTGTTTGATTGATTGGCCCTCTCGAACGCTATTATTCACCTAATTCGTTACGTGAAGATTTTCCTCTTCACGGAACAAGTTTCCGTGGTGCGATGCATTGCGAAACGCATCATGCTAACCGCGAAATACTTTATGCAAATTTCACCGAGCCCGTAGAAAATAGCAGTTATGTCACGGACTCCGTCGTTTCCGGTTCTCTCGTCATTAGCGTTCTTTTTTATCTAATTCACATGGTGTCCGTCACGAATGCCAATTATTGACCGCAATAAATAGCCATCTCGTCTTATGAAACATTTATGGGTTTATCGTTAAGCTCGAAGCGCTTTTTTTTTGTTTTTTCTTACACGATTTCATCGAAGGAGATCGTCTCGAATGTTTCGCGAAGAATCGAAAGAGGAGAGTTATTAGTTAAACGTGTGTCTAATATCGGAAGCAATTTGCGAAATTGAGATTTCAATCGAGTTAACAGCAGAGTGTGAATAACATTCCCAAGAAAAACTGCCATGCAAAAGGGATTTCTCTTTGGGGATAAAAAGATCTGTTAGAGGATATGGGTGATTGGAAAAAGCGTTTAATTAGCGGTATATTAGAAACCGAATTGCTGAAGGAAGCGAAGCTTTCGAGTATGTTTTACCGTGGGAGTGTTAATCCAGCGTTCATAATACCGACCTTCGTGGATTGAATGTGAGTAATGAGTTATTAATGGTGTCAGATTTCTTTCTTTGAATATTTGAGTTTTAATAAAAAATGTAAAGAGTCAGTTGCAAATTGTCGTACTTTTGATAAGTGATCTGTTCGATAGATTTCTATGGGAAGAAAGGAATTATAACGTTTCTCAGGGTGAACTGGAACACAGAGTATGGTCACTTTGCTATTTAAATGAATTTTCTTGGACGTTAATTGCAATTTGCATATCCTGCAGCATGCATTGTAAAGAAATATCGCCATGTTAGTTGTAATTCGCTTGATTTTTTCCCCGATTTTTCTGTTAACCATAACAGGATCGAATGTTCTCTTCCGTTAAGAAGGATAATCGAAGATACAGTATCAGAATAGAAAAGCAACAACCTTGCAAAAATGATCAAGGATTTTTCTTTCCTCCTCCTCCTCTCTGTCAAATCGCACAATTTATTTCACCTTTTTTCAACTTCATTTCACCTTGAATTCACAACCTCCATGAATTATAAAAAAAAACGTGGAATATCATTCGATCAACCATAATGATATCCTTATCTTTTCAACAGTTTATTTAAACTTCCACTCAACAATGTAGTTCGCTTCACCTTGATCCCCAGTTTCCTGCAACTATTAAAATAGAAAGATAGAAACAGACTGATAAGTGGGATAAATATTATGCAGATAACTATAATATTCCATGAGCGGTAACAAGAGGAAAATGATAAGCAATTTCTGTATCAGATAAGGAAGTTGTGTTGGTTCGTCTGAAGTTCGTTCCCAGAAAAACAGTTTGATTCGCCTTGACCTTGGTCTGAACGTGTAACACGTAAATCGAGTTGAGTAACTGGAGGATCGTTAATTCACAGAGACCGAGATAATGACAGTCATGGTGGAGTCTGTGAAAGCTGAAGAGGGCGAACGCCCGAAGATCGAGACCTTTGACGACATCCTACCGTACGTAGGCGAGGCCGGCCGCTACCAATGGTTCCTTTTCATCGTACTCCTGCCCTTCACCTTCGTGTACGCGTTCCTCTACTTCACGCAGTTCTTCATCACGCTGGTGCCAGCGGAGCATTGGTGCACCGTACCAGACTTCGAACGATGGAACCTCACCGAGGATGAACAGTGAGTGCATATTTTGCCGACTTTCGATTTTTATCGATTATGGCGGTATGACGGTGTTGGTGGGTTTTGCGTTGGGAAGAATGGATCGTGGGAGAGGGGTTTCTGAGGGGTTGGGAGTTTGGGAGAGTGAAGATTTGGAAATTGGATGTTTGAAGATTTGGAAATTTGAAAGTTTGGAGATTCGAAAATTTGAAAATTTAGAAATTTGAGAGATTGAGAATTTAGAGATTTGAAAGTTTGGCCTTTGGAAAATTTGAGAGTTTGAAAGTTTGAAAATTTGAGAGATTGAGAATTTAGAGATTTGAAAGTTTGGAAATTGGAAAATTTGAAAATTTAGAAATTTGAGAGATTGAGAATTTAGAGATTTGAAAGTTTGGAAATTGGAAAATTTGAGAGACTGAAAGTGAAAATTCGAGAATTTAGAGATTTGAAAGTTTAGAAATTGGAAAATTTGAGAGTTTGAGAGTTTGAAAATTTGAGAGATTCGAGATTTGAAAGTTTGGAAATTTCAAAATTTGAGAGTTTAGAGATTCCAAAGTTTGGAGATTTGAAAGTTTGAGAGTCCAAAACTACAGAGCTTCGAAAACTCGATAATTTCCAACAAACCAGAAAACTCCATTACACAACAAATCATTCAGATCGCGCGTGAATCTCACCGAAGAACAACCGCAATGCAATTCGCAACAGATCAATACGCGTTATCATTAAAGATTCCATTCGGTTGCTATAATTAACCGTTAACCGCAAAGAACGATCTGTGTGATTCATTCAATCACGTGCTGTACGTAGATCAAGCTCAAGCATTCTCACCACCTCTTATCGTATTCCCGACCAGGTGGCAATGAATACTTCCCAATAACAAAATCTCTCATTTACACGGAAATTTCCACGCTCTGTTTTCATTGATAACGCTTATCAATTCCACGACAATTTCCTACTTTGTATCGTAATATTAGCAATGCAACAACTTTCATTCTTTCCAACAAATCACTCGAAACGAACGTCTACTGTCGTTCTTAGCCGACCGTCGACAAACGGGAACTTCCGTGTGTCTCGTTTCTAAGAACGCTTGGGAATCACTGGTGAAAGGAAAACGTAGCAAATACACGATCTCTGTGGCTCGATTCCAAGGAATCGTTTCTTGCTCTAGAACTTTTCACGCGTCGTCGTGTCAATCGTGGAAAACCGTCCTGTGTTTTCCCCACTGAATCACAACTGGCAAACGCGAAACTATGCGTACACTCGGTGATTTCCTAAGCGTTCGATGGATCGTCGGAAACCAGTTTGGTCGACGACCTCCGGCAGATTCTAGACGTCGACGTTCCGCGAACTGGCCAGGCTAGGAAATTCTTTCTTGTTTCGAGCAACAGCTTTGCATCTCCGCGCGGCGTTTATTCGCCTGGGAATAGACACACCGAAACGTGCCACGATCTGCCAATTAAATCTGTACACAATCGAAGTGTCTGTGTATGCGATGAGACTTAAGCGTCCTTCACCTTCACTTTTCTGTCTATTTCTAACGCTCCACGTTTCGTTTTTTTCCCCTCTTCTCTCGATGTTTTTTCAGTGTAATTGTTTGTGTACGATGAGACGAGATTTTTTGAGAGTTGAACTGTGCGACATTTTTGTGAATTTTGGGGTTACGTGGGCTCGAGGGAAGGAAGATTTTTGGAGATTTGAAATGGAGATGTTGAGAGTTGTGGTTCTTGTTGGTTTTGTAGGTTGAAGTTTTATGGTGGTTATGGAAGTAACATGTGCAATTCTATTTTTGCGTAGGATCGCTTTAGCAATACCTCCAGCGTCGACGGAAGAGCTGAAGATCGAAGGAGCGACCGCGTTTTCACGATGCAACATGTACAATGTGAACTACACTGAAATATTGGAGAAAGGTATCAGACAGTCGGACCCATCCTGGCCGATCAAACCGTGTCAGAATGGATGGACGTTTAATCATACGATGATACCGTACAAGTCGATAGCTGTCGAGGTGAGTTCTCAAATACTTTCTATTCTGCTCAGATAGGAGAAAAGTTTTGCTGGAAATTGATCGAAATTTTGAGCTTGAGAATTTGAAAATTTGGAGGTTTGAAAGTTCGAAGGGTCGAAAGTTTAGAAATTTGAAAATTTGAAAGTTCGAAGATTTGAAAGTTTGAAAATTGGAAAGTTTGAAGGATCGAAAGTTTCAAAATTTGAAAGTTGGAAAGTTTGAAGATTTGAAACTTTGAAAGTTGGAGAGTTTGAAGATTTGAAACTTTGAAACTCTGAAACTTTAAAACTTCGAAATTTTGAACGTTTGAAAATTTAAAAACTGGTAACTTGAGTGCTGAAAAATTCGAAGTTTCCTCGTCTTAACATAAAGTTCACACAATTCTCGATAAGTTAAGGAATCTTTCAAATTTTTTCGACCATCGTTCGCTGAATATTCCGAGTGCAATTTTCTGAAGCTGCTCGACGACCGAGAATAACGCAACCATTTAGAAAAAGTGTCCTTGTTGACTGTACAAGCCTAGACGTAGGTGTAATTACTTATTGTACTGGCTGCTTTATATCAGAGCTCGTTTAGAGCAGTACGTAAAATTAAGCTCGTCATTCTTTACTGCTAATGCACTTTGGCAGAAGAGATTACGATATCTGTAACATTACGAAACGCTTAAAAGCTAGGCAAGCATTAAGGCAAAATTGCGTATGTTTTGGAAAATAATATAATAATGGCTTTTCAAACACTCTTACTCATATGTAACTAAAAAAAAAAGCTCTTAGTTAACACAAAGTAAAATATAATTAAGAGTAATTAATTCTACTACTTTTTCTTTAATTACGAAAATAATTACACTCAAGCGAAAGAAATAATTGCTTCCCAATAGAAAAAGAAAATTAACATAAAAAGTACAAAAGAGACAGACAGCTGTTGTTCTAATATCATTTATTCAATAAATCTCACAATTTATCAATTTTTCCACACAATTACACACTTGTCCCATCGTTCTACTAGCTTTCCTATACCAGCAGCAAAGAAACTCTTTGTCTGTGCCAGTTTTGCACATTGGTTTCCACTTGTTCGTTTCTGTGAAACTTGATTCCACAAGAGGGGAATCAAGCCTGAAGAAATCTGACGGGGCGAGATCTGGACTGTAAAGCGAATGTGGTAGAACCTCCCAACCCAATTTATCCTAACTCTTCAATTTTTTAAACAACCCTTCTAAATTAATAACAGAAATACCACTCGTCGAATGACCCTCGTACTTTTCAAATCTTCCTCGAATTCAATCGTAGATTTAAGGCTTTCACAGCCCTGAGCATAATTGTTATTAAAAATTTCGCGTGTAAAAAGTAGATATTTCGTAAGATCGAAGATTTAAATCGTTAGAAAATAATGAAAATTAAATTATTCAATTGTACCATATCCAAGATACACAAATCGTCCATTCCTCAGCTTCCTCCCTTCGATTTCTACAATTTCCACGATTTCGCGATATTTTCACTCCGAGCATAATCGACTCCACTGTAAGGCAGCCCTTTTTCCACTTTAAAACTGTAGTATCCGGGCCTCCGTACTCAAATAGGAAACCTCGAAGGGAGAATACAGAGGGTGTGGTTGGCGTAGCGCGCAAAGCCTCTGCCTACTAGCCGAAGGTCCCGGGTTCGATTCCCGTTAGGGGTCCCTCAAAATTTTTCCATCGATTCCTACAAAACACGCACACAAATCGTTCGTTCTTCGGCTCTTCGTTGCACTCCCTTGGATTCTTAATCGACTCCGCTATAACGCAGCCCCTTTTTCTACTTAGCTGGAGTGGGTCTGCGACCATGCATTCCTCGGCTCGGCAGCCCAGTCTGCCTTCTTCGTGGGCAGCATGCTTGGCGGGCTGATATTCGGCTACATAGCCGACCGTCATGGCCGAATTCCAGCGTTGGTCGCGTGCAACGCGGTTGGTTTCATCGCTTCCATTGGCACCGCGTTCTGCAACAGCTTCTGGAGCTTCTGTCTGGCGCGATTGGTCGTCGGTACTTCCTTCGACAACTGCTTCAACGTGCTCTTCATCATCGGTGAGTCATGGAAAATGAATTACGAACGAAAACAAGCAATTAACGCGTGGAGAGAGAGAGAGAGAAAAATGGAACGAGCATGAGTCATGGAAAATGAATTACGAACGAAAACAAGCAATTAACGCGTGGAGAGAGAGAGAGAGAGAAAAATGGAACGAGCGAACTGTGATTTATAATAGTGTGATGGATTGGTAACGTGGTTTTTATGTAACGATTAACGGTGAAACGAGTTTGCTGGAAAGAGGTTTGTTGAGCTTGAACGACGTCGTTGAACGATAATCTGGAGAACACCGAGGTTCTTCTTCTTTCTTCGTTCAGATAAGGCTTTAATTTGGGAGACGAAATATTTGTAAATTTGTCAATTTATATGATTTGTGAGGTATTAGAGTGAATACTGCGAAGGAATATATTTTTTGACAATTATTGTCTAGCAAAGTTTCTTAGATCTAGTTGTGAAATTGAATAAAATTGCCTTACTTACTTGGAATTTCGTTAGAATAAAAATTTTTTAATTATCGAGTATATTGGAATAAAAATTTTTCAATTTTCGAGTAGATTAGAACTTAAATTTCTGAGTACATTGGAATTTAAATTTTTCAATTTTCGAGTATATCGGAACTCCGATCTTTGAATTACTTCTATGACCAATAGTCTGCAATAACAATCTCATAATTATTTCGTATATAGAACAATTGAGTTTCACATTCAAATTCGTTTAAATTCTTTTTAGAATACTCCCGATAATTTGACGATACTTTATGTCATATCCCTCTCGTCAAACACGTATAGAACGAACTTAATCCCAAAACCACACTGCTACACTTTATCGAAAGAAGAAAAACAAATGAATCACGAAACAAGGAAATTGCATACTTCTACCAAAAGACGAAAATAAATAAGGAAACTTTTTGGCAGGAGGAATGATTTATGTTCACATTTACAGCCATTTAATCGCGTATGTACTCTTCGCTATAATCAAATAACGATGTCGTAAATCTCGTTACAGTGATCGAGTATGTCGGCCCGAAATACAGAACACTGGTGGCGAACATGTCTTTCGGTCTTTATTTCGCTGCAGCAGCGAGTCTTCTGCCATGGATCGCTTACTGGATCGCGAATTGGAGGATCCTCAGCATAGTCACCGCGTGTCCTATGGTGTTTGCCTTGTTAGCGCCGTGGATCGTTCCCGAAAGTGCACGGTAATTTTTAAAATAATTTCATTTTTTTAGATAAATTCCACACTTTTGTTTCATTCGAACCGCAAAATTAACGAGATATGGTAATTCACGCGGAAAAAGTCGATAGAAACATATCGATAATAATTCTTTCTACTTTAGTCTTCCTTTGCACAGATTTTACGCGAACATTTCTCTTTTAACGAAGTCTCCATTTCTGAGAAACTCCTGTGTACCTTCGTTGGCACGTCGAAAGCCTGTTAATTCATATTTTTTTCTCACTTTTTATTAACTAATTTCTCTGTGCCAGCATAATTTCAAAATTAACTCCTCTCTCGAACGAGCAGCGAAGAATTCGCAAGGTTAACTTCTTATCCGCGATTAAACGCTGCGTTTTTTGCTGCGCCGAATGAGATTGTCGTTTTTGAAACGAGTTCGACAACTCTGGGTACACGGTACAGCGTTCGAAATAGAGAAAAACGAGTCATCCTGTCGACAGATAGAAATTAGAAATAGAAAATTTTCTTTGGTCGTGGTTTCACAACGTTTCCCTGCTTTCGTGTCCTCGCGTAGTTGGTACATCACCAGCGGGAAGATCGACAAAGCGATCGAGATGTTGAAGAAGTTCGCGAAAGTGAACGGGAAAGAGGTGAAGCAGGAGATATTCGACGAGTTCGAAAAGAGCTGCAGATCTATGAACGAGAAGGACCAGTCGCACAATCAGTACACCGTCCTGCATCTGTTCAAGTTGCCACGACTCGGTCGTATCACCATCATGCTTGTCATTTATTGGTGAGAGAAAAGTTTGATCTCTTCTTTGTTTATTTTCATTGGTAATTAATAGATTGTGAATTTTTACGCAAATTCATATTTTTGTCGAATCTAGATAGGCAATTATTCACTCGGTAAATTATAACGAGTACTATATTTCGTATTTATTATTACATTCCGTGTACTTTTGTGCCTCCAAATTTTCCATAAACGCATAAAAATCCACAGTCTAGTGATTAACATCGCACCTCTTCGAAATTGCTTTGAAAAACAGAAAAAAAGGATCGATGTGTAAAAGCAAAGTTACACTTTTCAAAAAAAGAATTAATTATAATTTCATAAAGTTTAACTGTAAAATCCACTCATCCTTCGCGTCATCCATATTAATGATCCTCTATTTTCACAGAGAATTATGTCGAAGTAGAGGTAAATTACCATGAGTAGGACGTAAATTATGTCGCCATAAATATTAAACAAGTGTATTAAACACTTTTATGTATGTACATAGCGAAGAGAGCGATCGAGGATAATGTTGGACGTGTGACACTCGATATTAATAAATCTCGATCGACTCTATTTCTAGGCTGCTTATGGTGTGGGTATTCGACGGCCACGTATGGAACATGAAACTTCTCGATCCTGACGTCTTCATGTCGTTCTCGCTGGCCTCACTCACGGAACTTCCGGCCGCCATTCTGCTCGCCGTCTTCCTCGACAGATGGGGAAGACGATGGATGGGTTTCGCGTCGATGTTCCTCTGTGGCGTTTTCTCTTTTCTTGCCCTAAGCACCCCTCATGGTAAGTTTTTTTCTTCTTTCTTTCTTTTTCCCCTCCTCTTTCATTCTTCTTCTTTTTTCTCTCCGTCTGTTTGATGGATCACTTGTCAATGGAAATTATCCAATAATATACGAGGAGAGACATTGAGAAGACGGGTGGAATCTGATAGAGAAATTCCTGTTTTATCGATTCACGGTAAAAAGCAGATTTTACGCAGTTGTAAAAGATTGAACGATTTTGTACAAGCGCATAACCAAGGAAAGAAATATGCGTGGACACGCTGCGAGGTAGAGTGACTTTTTTTTAACCCCTTCGCTGCGATTTTCGAAATATTTGAATGTTGAAATTCTAGAATTTGTCGTTTCTAAGTTTCTTTTGCTAAGGTGGAAGCGCGCAAAGGACAAACTTTCGAAAAGCAGTGAGAGGGTTAAAGTCGGACCGAACGATTTGAGATTTTTACGGAAGTTGGAATTACTTTACTGTATGACGTGTAAACAAATTTTTGAAAATATTCAAGTCTGTCGGAATCGCGAAGGAAATAACGAAAGTCGCTTTTTACAACTTTCTTATTTTCAGCTCGCAATGAAAATTTGAAAAATACGTTTTGTAGATTTATTCCAGTCACAGTTGCGTCGAATTTTCAAAAACTTTTTCACACGTCGTGTATTGCGGTAAACTAATCGTAACGTTTTCAAAGAACTCAAGTCGTCTGGTCCAATTTCTAAAAGATTTATTCTGTTTCGAAGGGTGTCCACGTATTTCTGTCCCTGACTGTATAGTAGAGTAATTTTTTTTATTATTCGACGAGGGTGAAGATAAATGGAAATTTTTATGTGTATCAGAGAGAAGATAAATCGAGATTTTTTATGAGATTGTTGAAGATGGAAGAGTAGCGATGTCTGTATTAAAAATGGTTCCTGAAAGGGTTCGGAATAATGGACAGTGTTTGAATAAAAATTGTGCAAAATTACACTCTCTGTTTGCAGATTCGATTCGTTCTTTCTATCTTTTACGTCTAGCTAACGTCAGCCAGAAATCTCCACGTGCATTCGAAGAAATCATCGAAACCCTGATAACGTGGAATAAACACTCTTCCTCGATTTCACAGCTAACCAAACACACTGACCAGACTGACACACTTGGCCAGTGTTTAGTTACACTGATCAAACGTACCTTAGCATTCACAGAATCCTACTCTCTCCTGTATCTACTCTCCTAAAAGTCGACCAATAACCTGTAATTCCAACATTGCAGCAGAGATAAATCCTTTGAAATTTCCATTTTATCGGCAATTCAAATACTTCATTTGACGATTTTTCTGCTCACTTTTTTCTGCTATATTAAGTAAAAAAAAGCTAATATATTATAGATGAATTATTAGGCGTGGAAATGAATTCTTTACGACTCTATTCGCATAATTAATTCAAAGCCGGCGAGACTCTATCGCGGTGGAGTTCTCAAGCTACCCAGAAAAATGGCATAAAAAATAGTGGATATTATTTGAACTGATTGATCTGTTTTCATTTTCTTTAAAAAAAAAAAAGTTGGAATTAAACTGACTGTTTCTTACTAACAGCACTCTTTTTTATCGCACATTCACCAGAATCTGTGCCACGAGTCTGTCAATTATTCAATTGTACTTTTTTACCCGTCTACTTTTCTCCTTTCGTTCAAACATGAGATAAACTGTTCCAACTAATTAAATTCCTCTTACGTAAAGATTACAGAACAAGCGAAATCCTTGACCTCTTCCATGGAAACTGGTTAAATGAACTTGCTTGCTTATCGAAAGAAAGAGCGTTCCGAATAAGTCGGTGAATGTTAAACGACAGTGTATTAATAACTATCTTTCGTTGATAAGGGAACTTTAAAATACTCTCGATTCTCTGGTGAACAGAGTTCAAGCTTAGATGATTTGAACTCGAAATTCTTTTTTTTTAATTTTCTTCTCAATAACTCCCTATTACTTCAAGAATTTTATTTGAAATGCACTTCGAAAGGAACCGAAATTTTTTCACTAATTATATCGAAAATAGCATTAACCCCTTAACGTATGATTTCTTTTCTGACGATGCATCTAAGCGTCAGCCATTTTCTGTTTTAATACTGTATTCAAGTAACAAAAGGTAATCTGTTACAGATTAATTACATTCAGTAATCCTCAGTGTTACAAATTAAAAGGAAAGTTAGGATTAGGTTTCATTTTTCTTATCAACGTAACCATTTTCGTCACATTAGGACCAGAATCTCTGCCACCAGTTGTTATAGGTTAAAGCAGTGGTTCCCAACCTTTTCTAAAGTGCGGAACCCTATTGTGAGTCAAATTTTCTGACGGAACGCTTACTATTAAAATGAAATAAGTTTGTTGTCTATAGTAAATCAGGAGCAAGTTAAATATGTTTCTCCTAAAATTTTCAAATGGTTTTCTCATTTGTAAGTAAATAAATCTGAAGCATCTTTCACACACAGACGGTAATTTTACGTACGATAACAATAGCAATACCTTGCAATTTATCCAATTACCGCTGATGCGGCTCAAAATATTACAAAATATATTTCGCGTCGCTCTCTCCCGATAAACTAATGTCCAGAGTTCCACTAAAGTCGAGTGTGTTATAACTGTTGCGTGCGCTTCGAAAGCTAAACGAGTTCTTTTTTTCGAGTGTCTATGTTCGCTCTTTTATTAACTAGGTGTGTGTTGTGATTGATTTTTTCGGGATGCTTGAGGGGTGTCTGTCTGATGGTGCGGAAGTGGGGAAATTGTTGTTACATAGATTTGTTATATTGCTGTGTACATAGGATTACTGGTGTCGAGGATCTGTTTCATGTGGTGTCCGGATGTAGGGTGTAGAGTGTTCGAAATTTTTACTGTAATGAAGCAATTGACGGACCGTGCCGGCTAAGACTTCTCTTTACAAATACTCCGCGAACAACCGCGAAACACTTTCGAAATGTTTACGGAGCACAGGTTGAGAACTACTGGGTTAAAGGGTTAAGGGTCGTATATATGTGTCTCTATTGCTCGTCCAGGTAAAAAAAGGAATATTGTGCAAAATATGATACATATTTAAACTGGCAGTTTAAAAATTACTTCATTCATGAATGACGAATGAACAAAACTTACGTCGAGTCACATCCGACGAAGGGTAAGTCCAAAGGGTTAATCGCTCGAAGAGTATTTCGAGATGGGATGGTATTTGGTTTTTAATTGGACCAGGGAGCACACGAAGCTCGCGCATCGCGCTTGGAATGCGACGTTCCCGGCATTTACATATTTCTCAACTTGTTCAAGGTGCGCCAACGGTCACCATGGCGATCATTGCGCGTCTTGGAGTGAATATCGCGGCGAATATCGGTTTCCAATACGCTGCGGAGATGCTGCCTACAGTGGTGAGAGCGCAAGGTGTATCTTTGATCCATATAATCGGCTACGTCGCTCATATTTTGGGACCGTACATAATCTACCTGGTAAGAGTGAAGATGAATCTCGGAGAAATTGTCTGTTTTCCGAGCAAAGGAGAATGATCGTTTCTTATATTTCACAATGGAGATTAATAATCTGTGCTCGTCTCGCGAACAGTTTCCTGGACGCGAAAGAAAACGACCTTGCGATTCATGGAATGTGAAATACGAAATCCTTTCTACGCTTCTCGCTGAAAAGTTGGCGATGAAAGAGTTGAGAAGTTCTTTGAAAAATTCCATTAAAAAATGGTCCGTTTTGTCGTTGAAGGGGAAAACACGTTTGCTTCTTTTCTCCTTCTTTTTCTTCGTTCCCTAGACACTGTGTTTTGAGAAGAGTATCGAAAGGAAAATAGCTGTCTTTGTGTCAGAAAGTACAGTGCCTCTCTCGAGAGGTTCAATTCTCAGATTTACACAGTGTGGATCCGAAATTGAATATTTTAAAAATTTTGAAAAAAGAAATCACCTCTTTTTACAAATATTTTACACAATTTTGGGATTCTTGATATTCACCTTTTTATCTGTTACTTTTGGCCGTTTTTCGGACCATAAGTTCGTGCCGAAAGTGAAAACTATTTTAACGAATTATCCAAGGAAATGCTAATGATCTTATATCAACAAAGAAGTAGAAAAGATTTGTGGAATGAGAAAGTACCTGCGTTTTTATTATCAAATTTAAAGGTTCGTTGGAAATAAAACTCGACACGAATTTATCACCTAATGTGAAATACAAAGAAACGATGGAAATGTGAAAATACACAATAACAAAGAAAATCCGATAAATCTTTAAAAACCTTCATATTGGTACTTAAAAAAAAAATGTTGATCATTGTTACATTATTCAGGCCGACATAGATCCAGCTCTACCTCTGGTTGCTCTCGGACTATTGTCTTTCGGGCACGCTTTCTTGACCCTTGGTCTACCGGAGACCCTGAATCAGGATCTTCCGGAGACTCTTCAAGAAGGTAACGACTTTGGCAAAGAGCAAAGCTTCTGGTGGATCCCCTGTGTATCTTCGTAAGTACCGTTATTCCATCGATTTATAACGAAAAGCATCTCCCTTTCTGCTATAGAAATTCGCTGAACAAAATTGTCTCGTTGAAATGTTACAGAAGCAAGATGCTAAAGAAATCTTCCAGAAAGAAGAAAGGTCTGTCGAATCCAGCCTTCACCGGCAGTGTTCAAAAGATGGACTGCACTAGATTATAGCGACTGGTCGAGTCGTGTGAAACTTGCCAAATCCTTTGTAAATACACTTAGTTATTAAAAACGTGCGAGTGTGATGCTAGATGTTAAGGTATCGTGAACATATTGAGAGAGAGAGAGCTGTTGAGAGGCGTATAGAAGAAACGTGAACGTTTGCAGCGTAGTGAAAGAGACAAGAGAAACATCTGATTCTGCGAGGTATATACAGCTACGTATTGATTAATTAAAAAAGAAAGAGAGAAAGAAACATATTCGGCATGTGGTAAGAGAACAATTGAACTCAGTATTGAACGCGTGTATTAAATCTATTACAGTATTTATACGATTTTGTTACTGAAAACTTGAGAGAAAAGAACTATTTTTTTCTTCTTTTTTTTACATACTACATATACATAAATATCGACGAAGCTTGAAAGTTTCTTTCATCGAAGTTCCAAACGATGAGGAAGTTGTAAGATCGAATCGACGAAACACGATTTGCGGTGAATTTGTCGCTAGATTCGAGATGTAAAATAGAGCCAAAAGAACCATCAACTTGTCTCGTTTACTTCGAAATCGTCGATACTTTGTATCTGTAAGCTCGAGTTGGAGAGGTTCGATCGACCTTTTGAACCGAAGTTGCTTAGGCGTTTGCTCAAATGAAACACGGTTTCTCGTCTTTCGTTTCTTCGTTCAACGCTGCAAAGATCAGATGGAGAATCTTCAACGTCGACGCCTTTCTTTTCTACTTCAGTATTAAGAAGAATTAAAAAAAGAATACAGTGTCACATGACACGAAACACCCTTTAGAAATCGCAATGCGATGAATTTCGCGGAGTTTTAAAGGTTCTACATTAACCAAGATCGAAACTTCGTCACGAGCTCGACTATAAATATTCTTAGATAGAAATTCTCATCCGCGAAGAGATACGGATGTACAGGGTGTCTCTGCATAAACCTGAGAATCCTACTTTCTCTTTAACCATGGGAGAAACGTTGAAAATATAGAAATCAGTTTATACTCAGACACCCTGTATTTCATCCAAGCTTGTTCCTTTCGGTCCTTCGTTCATCCCGAATGCTCAATATGTGTCATTCCCCAGCGATGATTCTAGATGTTAGGCTCATTCGCGTACTTATGAGACTAGGTACCTGCTTCCAGGCTTCGATTCAACGAAAATCCACCGATGAATCTATACTACATAGATTATTCCACTCTTTACTCTTCGCTATTGAAAAGAAAAAAAAAAACGAAAGAAATGTTTCTCTGACACGCGATCGTTTCTCAGAGTCGCAGAGATATTCTTCTGAGAGACATTCCTCACTTTTTAGCGATTCAACTCTGTTATATGTACATACACTAATCGTTGGAACCTCCAATATCGTATAGAGAAAGTACAAGAAAGAATTCGTCGTAGTTCGATATAGAAAGAATTCACACGCGACACCTTGTAATTAAAGTGTAACTTTTGTCTATTGTAATGATCGTAATTGTAAGACAAAGCCAGGCTAAACGTTGAGTGGTGAACTCGCGAGGATCATCGAGCATTGATGTATATTTAATTTTAGAAGGTATCTTAGCGTTTTAGTTGGATCGTAAGGACGATGCGTGTGATGTGTGTGCTAATAAAAATAAGAATTATTTCTTAACGTCGTCGGCTTGTCCGGAGTTTTATTTCATCGGAATGATCCTATATACATACATATATATTATAGTATAGGTGTGAGTGAAACAAACGTGAGACAGGTGTATATTTTCCCGATTGATTGCGTGGTTATTGGCACAACGACGAACATTGATCGTCATACGATGGCACAATTTGCTTACAATATTCTTCTCTTTCCTTAGATCATGGAAACGAAGTCGCTCGAACTTCCCTTCTCTCCTTAAAGAAAAATCTTAGAAATTAAATTGGATAAATGAGTTGGAGCAGTTGGTGCTTGACGAAGAATTTTAATAAACGCTTAAAATCTTCTTCCATCTTAATTTTAACAAGTTTGATTTCAATCGATCAACGACGATATACAATACAAAAGAGGAATTTTGTCTAAATCGTTATTTTAAGATATGTTACATTTCTTTGTTTCTGCTTTCACGACTAAATGTGTTTCCTTTTTGTCGGATAAAAATGATTGAAATGCGCACGTTCGAACGAAGCGACAATTTTAAAAACATTTGTGGCAATAGTAATCGTGAAAGTAGCACCAACCACTGGATCGCGAAATTAATGTTAAAAATAAACATTAAAATGTAATAATGAAAACTGTATAGGAACACAAGTTATAGGCTCGTTCTTGCTCCGCGTACCGCGAGGCAGAATAGATCGTTAAGAGTCACGAGCATGCTTACAGATAAAATTAGAGATAAAATTACGAATAAACGTAGGAACACAGAGGTTCGATTTTCACGTATAAAAATCATCACGTTGATCCGCCGTAAATTGTTTTCGCTCCGACGAATTCGGCGAACAGGTAGAATTCGCGTTTCCATCGAAGTTGGAATGTAAATTAGATGAATTATTGTTCGCAAGAGTTGTAACGTCGACGTCCGTCGAATTGTGATTTCTCCTGAGATGGTAACGACCAGAAACTTTGATCCTTTCCGAATTCTTCGCCTTGTTTGATGGTCTGCGGAAGGCTACGTCCGACAGTTTCCGGTAGAAACAGGACACACGCGGCTCCGATGAAAGACATCGTTCCGATGATCAGCATTGGGAATCCTTTCCAAATTGCGGTCTGGCAAAGTCCCAATGAAATTCAGATTAGACACGCGGTGTGAATTTTTGTTTCAAATGAAGTTTCTCCGATGAGAAGTATCTTAGGAAATTATTCCTCGAAGAGAAATGTTTTCTAGAACAGTGTCGTAAATTTTGAACGTTAGTAAGGTAAATTTGTTTACCGAGTCGATTACATACGGCGCCAAGGTGTGAGCTATTACTCCAAAAATGTGAATCAACGATACACCTTGGGATCTAACGGGTGTCGGCAAAATTTCCGCCGCGTATTGTAGTCCAACGTTGGCCGCCATGTTTAGGCAAAATCGCGACATCACTGACATCACCAATTTAGCGATATCTGTGAAATAAATATTGTACAGAGTGTGTCGGTGAGGATTGACGAGTGTCGAAACATTCGTAAGGTTATTTTCACGTTAGAGAAACTTATTTCTACACGCCTAGGAAATAATTTGAAAAAAAAGAAGAAACAACGAAATTGATCGTTTTTTAGCGTATCAAGAGCTGAGAAAAATGTGAACGTTAAGGGGTTGATCATTTTTAACACGTCTCAATGTTCGTTTGAAAGTTGACGAAAATATATGGAAGTGTTGATTTACTGGAATGCAACAACAGTTCGGCGATACTGAACACGCAAGTTATTATCAGAGTGAGGAATCCACAGAGTCTGCGTCCCCATCGGTCCAGCAACAGAGCCAACAACAAACCGGCCGGAAGTTCTGTGGCGCAAGCGATGGAAAACGAGACGAACACCGAGCTTTGGATCAGCTTCAACGAATATACGTGACCGTCGAACGATATCACGATGACAGACCTGCAATATCACACCAGTCGTCATTCGTCGAGCTTCGTTACAGCTTGTTTTCTTATTATACTTTCCAGAATACGACTAGAAGGACGGTGTTCCTGGCCAGCCGCGGTGATCTGAACAAATCGAACACTGTCGCTGTTTCACGCTGTCTTCCCGACGATTCCAAGTTGGCCTGTAATCATATTCATTACGGAACTCGTCGTTTGGAAGATCGATATAGGTGCTCTTGACAAGTTTTGAGAGCGCAGCAGTGTGAAGTGATGAGAAAGGGTAATGAAAAGTGAGAAAAGCGAAGACAATGGAAAGATTTGAGAGCACCGAGGTGCAAAATTTTGGGCAATAAACAACAGAAAGACACAGAAGAGTAAGTACAGTTTACGAAGAGAGAAGATTCGACGAGATTGAAGAAAGGCAAGAAATTGTAAAAAATATGACGGGGAATCATCTGAAATACAATGGACACCTCTCTCGAAACGATCCACGTAATCTTCTCAAGTTCACTATCGTCACACTTACAGCACGAAGAGAGAAGATTCGACGAGATTGAAGAAAGGCAAGAAATTGTAAAAAATATGACGGGGAATGCATATATCATCTGAAATACAATGGACACCTCTCTCGAAACAATCCACGTAATCTTCTCAAGTTCACTATCGTCACACTTACAGCGAACGCGTCGTAAATCCGCGGATCTGGCTTTCTGCGGTTGATCCTTGCTATTCTTCGCAGTTTCTCGATAACCTTGTCAGTCTTTCCATTGGAAACGTACCACCTTGGAAAGTAAACATTCGTGATAGCAATCGGACGTGTTGTGAATTTGCATAGAGATCGAAGCAGGTGGTGAAGATTTGTAGACGATTAGTACGATCGAGAAAGTGTCTACTCACCGAGCACTTTCGGGGAGGATCCACGGTGTAATAACGACGGATAACAACGGTAACGCGGTGATGTAAGTGAAATACCTCCAACTGGCGACATAGTACGCTATCCAGGGCAACAAGGTGCTGATCACAGCGGCGTAGATTCCAAATGCGACATTGACAACCAGAGATCGTTTCGAGATCGCCATATACTCGAGCACTGTGAAATAATTGATAGTCGATGATGATGATTCGGCGAACAACAGATTATCGTTCCGAGATACACTTAAGAGCAATTACATCGATGGAATATTTGTCAAGTGAAACTGGTTACCGTTAACAAAGAGCAATTGATATCGAACGAGACTGTATGCGAATGTATTAATTGTGCAACTACTTCACCATTTCTCGGATGATCTTTTGGTTATTTGTCTGGTAATTTAGGCGACTTGTAGCTGCTTCATTCTGTATCTTAACCCTTCGCACTCGGAGGTAATTTTGTTGTAGGAAAGATTGCAAATCGGATCTTTGAAATGTTTTCAAACTAACGTAGAAATACACTGTGTTGTTTTATTTAAATATTCAACGTATTCTCTATTTCACTGTGGTGAAGAAATTTATGGAGGCCCGTAGATCTGCTCACTGTCTTGATTAATTATTTACCAGGTGAGAATTATTTAATGTCGCTTCTCAGTCGCCACTCGATTGCAAAGGGTTAATATTATTTATTTGTTGAAATTACCGTTGGGACTATGTTAAAAATAAATAAATGAATCGAACTGAAAGTTTGATACGTGAAATTTGAACGTTAATTGTTGGAAGTCTGATTAATTCACTGGGAATTGACATCTTGGTGGAATAATCGTATGTGAAAAAAAGTACGTTTAACGATGCTTGAGGAATTGATAAATCTTGGATTTATCGTTGAGAACTCTTTTTCTTTCCGATGTTACCAAAAACTCACCGATAATCAGTGGCATGTTGATACAGCTGTCAAAGGCGAGACCAGTGAGGAATCTACAGAGAGCAAAGGACCAAAAGCTGTTCGCGCTTGCAGTGGCGATCGAGCTGAACAAGGCAATGGTATTGCAGACCATCAGTGCAGGGATACGACCCTTGTGATCCGCGATCCATCCAATCAAAAAGCCACCGACGACGGAACCGCAGAAGAGGATGGCCTGCGCCGATGACACGAGGTAATCTCGGTCGCATACCCAATCTAGCTAATCACCAAGGGCTAAGAGTTAGTCAGTGAAAGAGAGAAAAAATTTTCTATGATTTTTCACTCGTGAAATTCTTCCAACGAGATACCTCGCCGTTCGAAGTTACTCGTTTAGTGCTTTGGACGATCGTCCAATTCGCCGTCACTTACACTGCACAACTTGATTTTCCGATTTCTCAATTTTCCGATTTCTCAATTTTCCGATTTCTCAATTTTCCGGTTTCTCAATTTTCCGGTTTCTCAATTTTCCGGTTTCTCAATTTTCCGGTTTCTCAATTTTCCGGTTTCTCAATTTTCCGGTTTCTCAATTTTCCGGTTTCTCAATTTTCCGGTTTCTCAATTTTCCGGTTTCTCAATTTTCCGGTTTCTCAATTTTCCGGTTTCTCAATTTTCCGGTTTCTCAATTTTCCGATTTCTCAATTTTCAGATTTCTCAATTTTCGATTTTTCGCGATTTCTCAATTTTCCGATTTCTCAATTTTCCGGTTTCTCAATTTTCCGATTTCTCAATTTTCAGATTTCTCAATTTTCACGTGAAAGGACATCGAGTTGAAAATACCGAATAAAATAGATAAGAGATATCTCGTCCACGAATGTGACAGGATTAAAACATTTACGGAAAAAGGCAAGATTTTTTGTTTGATTAAATTTGAAGAATTTTTAAACAAGAAAAATGAAAATTTAACGAATCAATTTGTCATACAATGCAAGTGAATTGGTTTTCGCGTGAAAGATAGGCAAGAGAGTTCGTTGAACTCTGATCAAGCGAGCAAGTAGAACGAATTTCCAAAATACTTCAAGGATACTTCACCTCAACTCCGATACTAGCATAAGGAATCTGCGTGAAACTGTACTCCCATTGAGTACATTCCACTGTTTTGTTCGTCTGAAATTCCAACGAGCGTAGATCCTTCCCGCTCTTCGCAAGTTCCGCGAAGTTTAGGTCCTTCCGGTGACACTGGTCGTAATAGGGATATTCACTCGACGACGGGATTGCTATCTGAATCCTGGACATCCCATAAAACACTCGATTAAACCAATATTATAGATCGAACGAAGTTTCTTCTTTCAACAAGCCCACCATTCGAAAATTTGAAATTTCGTTAAATCCAAAATTCGTCTCAATTCTCACGCGAAATATGGAGCAAAGGTGTGAAAAAGCCCAAAAAAGTCAAAGTGTCGAAGCTTGAAAAATTCAACCTATATCGACATTTTTCTTCCAACTATAAAATATTCAACGAGAGATTTCTTCCGTAACTTTCCCAAAAATTTCCTCCGCACTTTTCCTCCATTTATACTTTTCCGTACCACGTTACCTCTCTTCTTCGGTGAAATTGGAGTGCATCAGTTCCTCCACCCTGCACCAGTGTTCCGTCGGTATGATCGTAATGAAGAACTGCGAGAAATACAGAAACACGTAGATCGCGGTGTAGGGCAGCAACGACAACAGCAACAACCATTGATATCTCCCGTAATCTCCCACATATGGCAACACATCGTCGAAAGTCTCTAATTTCGGTCTGAGCGCTGTCATTTCAGTCGGTCCTATCGAATTGTGCAAATTCTTCGACATCTTCATATCCCTGGAAAACGATCCATCGATCTTCCTATAAACCTCTGTTATCCGCCGATAGACAAGATACAAAAAAAAAAGGATCACTGTTCTACGAAGAGAACGTCGTAATCGTAGCTCGACGAGGACAAAAGGCACACGCACAATGTTCTCAGAAACGAGAGAAAATAAAAATAGCGCGCTCGACGAGGTTGAAGTACTCGAGCGAATTATGCTGGTACAGTACGAGCTGGGTCGATTTACGCAACAGACGTCCTCTTCTGGAATTAAAAGCAGGATTATTCGCGACGGAAACAGCGCTCTCACCCGTTATTCATGTTTCCTCGTTTAATGAATCACGATCCTTGGTATCTCGTTGAATGGGAGAGACGTAGACGAGAGATTGGCGAACCGCGGAGACGCCAGAAAACGTACTGAAACCGTGGAGGAAAAGTCCCGTTGGTTTGGTTGCACGGTGTGCCCGGTTCGCCGAGTTTTCAATTCACTTAAACGATAAATTAAGTATAAGTGTTTGTTCCAGCGACGGTCAATTATTGTGCACCGCGGAGTCAAGTGGTTTGTGACACGCGATTTCGTACGAAATTGAATTGTTAAACGAGGCACGCTCTTCGCGGTCGCCGCTCGGGACGGTTTTAAAAAGACTGATACAGCCGTGTCGAACCAACGTCTGGAGAAAGTTCTTGTAGTAGGGACTGTTACGATGCCTCTGTTGGGACGTGAACGTCTTGCTTTATCTTGTTGTGATTCGATTCAATTAACGAATTGGTGAACCAGAAGTCGCTTCTTCTTTCTTGCCTTTCGTGCGTAATTTGTACAGATTTTTCTAATTCAATCGGTAAATTTGATTGGTTTGTTAGTGTACCGACAGAGAAGTGTGGCAAGTTTCGTTTATTGTGGTGTAGAATTAATTTTCTTTATCTCCTTTTTTATTATTGAATATTTCATTGTTTTCATATTATTTGTGGTTTAACAGGAGAGACTTCTGTTTTACGATTTTCGCCATTGAAGGTGATTGGAAAAGTATTGGAAATATTTTCAAATCTGCTTTGAAAATTCAAAGAGTCACTGTTAGGTTATCGTTAGAGTAATTTGAAGAGTAGGTAGATTTTGCTGTATTCGACGAGAGACACTCGCGTATTAATTTGAGAAAATTTTAGTTAGGTCCGAACCCCTTCGACTCAAGCTGGCCTAAGGATCTTGTTTTAGTTAGATTTGATTGGTCCTGTCGAGGGAAGGGCGAAAGAGTGAACTAAGATTGCTATGTGGAGCAAATGTCGAAAGAGGCTGGTTTAACAGGAAAACTACTTTCAAGACATGGATATTGATTAGAAATACCAATGCCACTGTCGCTAATGTGAAAGTGACTGGTGTCGAAAATAACTGACCCCTTTGGAATATAAAATTATGGGAAATATGCGTGCCTGAAAGCAACGGCGGACACCTGTGCCCGTTCTTGTATGCAAAATGGAAAGGCGCTTACAAAGGCAAACGCACGATGATAAATGAAAAGTATCGCGAATTCTTTCCTTCGCTTTTAACGCACGACAAAATTCTGAAGAAGTAAATTATCTGAGAAACATCTGACCTGTTATTACGTGCACAGTAGAGTTTATTTATTTTCTAGCATTATCTAATCGATAACATAGATTATGCAACGTGTGATTGCGTGAACTTAGTAAAAATAATTGGAGAAAATTCCCTGTATATTGATTGAGGAGGAAAAATAATAACTTTCGTACATGAAATAGAATTCACCTGCATAGAATCACTTTCAACGATAATGGAATAAAAATGGGTGGTTGAAAATGATGAGAAAAATCAAAACAGAATTTATTCTGTTCTTCTCGTCGATTATGAAATGTTCGGTGACTTACGTGTACCTGAGTTTCGAGCGAATCTTCGAATCACAACCACTTCTTGCTCCTATTCGCTCGAAATAAGACGAGATTTGGCAGGCGATTGATTATACAGCACCGTTGGCGCTGTTATGAGCGTAACGAGCAATTAAAACCATCTTCCACTTTGATGTCTGTGTGGATTGGTACCGAGACACGTTTCCACTTTTGGCAGTCGACCTCGGTCGTTGTTGATCCAACTTCCATTCGATGAGATCACTCGATGGACCAATGACTTGTTGTACTTTTACTTTTGCAACTCTCGGTGTCTTTAACTTCAAGTCGACCACTTGCAATTTTCAATGTCTTCAACTTCGAGTCAATTTTAACTCTCGGTGATTTCAACTTCGAGTCAGTTTTAACTCTCGGTGATTTCAACTTCGAGTCAGTTTTAACACTCGGTGATTTCAATTTCGAGTCAGTTTTAACTCTCGGTGATTTCAACTTTGAGTCAATTTTAACTCTCGGTGATTTCAACTTTGAGTCAGTTTTAACTCTCGATGATTTCAACTTCGAGTCAGTTTTAACTCTCGGTGATTTCAACTTCGAGTCAATTTTAACTCTCGGTGATTTCAACTTCGAGTCAGTTTTAACTCTCGGTGATTTCAACTTCGAGTCAATTTTAACTCTCGGTGATTTCAACTTCGAGTCAGTTTTAACTCTCGGTGATTTCAACTTCGAGTCAATTTTAACTCTCGGTGATTTCAACTTCGAGTCAGTTTTAACTCTCGGTGATTTCAACTTCGAGTCAATTTTAACTCTCGGTGATTTCAACTTCGAGTCAGTTTTAACTCTCGGTGATTTCAACTTCGAGTCAATTATTCGTAACTCTCGTTGACTTGAAGCTCACGTCCTTCTTCTCGATCGAAGAATTTCCTCGTCACTGAAGCACCTCGATCGTCGATCGTTAACTTCGAAACGGTTGACGGAATAATTGACACAATTCTCATCCAAGAAGGGGAAAAATAGAACACGTCCGATGGCAGCGAGGATTTGTACGAATATGAAGGGAAGACCAACTCGCGTATCGTTGATATATGTACATATATGTAGAAGGTTGCTTAGCGAAGACGAATGCGATACTCGATGACACTTGTTTGCCAGAGAATAGAGAAGGAGAGGAAGCATTGTTGACTGGCAAGGCGAAGCAATTTCGCACGATTCTCGAATCGCGAGCGTCAGGGACCACGTGTTCTACTATCATCGATCGAACTCTATTTTCTTTTCCATCCAGCGTTACAATGCTTTCTGCTGGTCCTTCGGCGGGCTTTGTTGTTGCACGAGATTCAGGGTAAATGGTCGGAGTTGATGGATGGAAAGATGTTGAATCCACCAGACGTCGAAAATATTTATTTATTTTCCAGTATAGACACATTGTGGTGCATAATACACGAAGGAGAGAACGAAGAAGCAAAATGACGGAAAAGGAACTAACGTATTTAAAAAAAAAGACATATTGAAAAATTGATTAAGAATAGATAAATTATTTTGCAAAATCTGAATACAATACTGGAAACTATTAACTATAAATAAGATACAGGATAATTTGAAGAAAATATCGTACGCTAAATTCAGCTCTAATTCTGAAGAAAATTTAATTTGAAAAATTTCAGGAAATAAGTTTCCAGCAAAATATGAAAATTCCTCAAAGAAATACTTTTAAGATAAAAAGTAAATTCAAAGTAAGCAAAAAATGAAATTACAATAATTATCAATAATTATCGGCATGGAAGTGATAATACCTACTGAAAAATGGAGGAGACTTGAAATCCAATCTACGACATATTTCTCATGGCAAATTTAACGGTCACTGGCACCGATGATAACAGAGGCACAGTTATGGATCAGTTACCGTGTCTGTGTAGTATTTATTTCAACAGGTTTTATTCTAACTCGATCTGTCGCGACTAATCGAACATGCGAGATAAGGACAACTGCGAAATACGACGAATATACTCTTACATCGCTTCGCGTGTATAAATAACGTTGCGGACGGTATAATTAGAGACCTCCGATGCTATTTCCGTTGATGTGCTCGCGTTAACAGGGAACACGCGAGTTTTCGTGAAATGAATCCTAGACCTATCGTTCACCTTCTTTTTCCTCGACATGCTGGAATTTTCAAAATTCGCGCCCAATTTTGTGCCGAAATTTAGATCGATATTTCAAATATCCCTTTAAATTATATGAAAAATCTTTTCTCTCTTTGCAAGACTTTGGGATTTTTTAAAACATTCGTGCCCAATTTCGTGTCGAAATCTAGATCGATATTTCAAATATCCCTTTAAATTGTATGAAAAATCTTTTCTCTCTGCGAGACTTTGGAATTTTCAAAAAATTCGCGCCGAATTTTATGTCGAAATTTAGATCGATATTTCAATTACCTATCCCTCTAAATTGCATGAAAAATCTTCTCTCTCCACAAGACTTTGGGATTTTCAAAAAATTCGCGCCTAATTTTGTCCCGAAATTTAGATCAATATTTCAAACCTAAACTTTGTGAAAAAACGTATTCGCCTCCCGGTTCCACAATTTCTTCCCACTTTTTTCGGAGAGCTATTGTAATTCTCTTCTCTTTTTCACTCTTAACACGAACTCGTTAACTTCGACACTCTGCAAATATATATTTTATTCAAACAGTTGCCTTCTTTGAAATCATTTCATCGATAGAAATGTAAAATTCTGGATCTCCGTTGAATTTCAAAAGAAATTGCATTTCATCCGATCAACTTGACATTGACAAAATGAAAATTGATCCTACAGGCTTGAAATAAATTTGAATAAATTCAAATAATACATGTAGTCTCTTTTTCGGTACAAATGAGCTGTAGTAAAAAATGATTCTGTTAGAATTCTCTGCTGATTTCCCGATTAAAATTGCAAATTGGATAAAACACTGATACGAAACAATTGCTTCAACCACGTCCCTCTCTCCCTCTTCGTTAATCAACGATAGGAGACGACCAGATAAAAATGATAAAAATATTTCGTTCGTGTAACGACATTGGTTCCTCCGACAATCCCGGCTGCCTTGGCAGATCTTTGCGTAACGCGAGCGGAATCCGCTGGTCTCGCGTTGCGTTCACGTCGAGGCAGAAATGAAAATGCTTTCACCGTCGATGGTAAACCCGTGCGAAGGGAATTCTGCATCTAGATCTTTATCATCTTTACGTAATTCGCTCTGGACGGATCAGCATACGTATTTCTTTTACGTATCGCGATTACGAACGAGACGAAGCGACTGAAGTTGTTCCACAATTATTCTATCGAGTCCATTTTCATTTTTCCTTTCTTCTCTGTTTCAGTTATCTCTCCTTTACGCTTCGTTCAACATACGTTACAACGTGTCTGCTTTTTCCTTTAATTCGCGATATAATTTGCTAATTATCCAATTCTTCGCGCGTAAAGGAAAGGAGAAGGTGGTCTTCTGTTTTCTTTTTAATTATTATTTAGATTACCTCGAATTACCATTTTTTACTAATTATTTCAGATGTGTTTCTTTTTTAATGATTATTTAGACTACTTTGAATTACTATTTTCTAGTAATTATTCCAGACGAGTTTCTTTTCTTTATTGTCGTTTTCATGGTGGAACTGGGGTTGTCAGGGAATTTCGCAGTGACTGTCGCTATAACAATTCACTCTTGCAAGATAAACGTACTGTTAGGGATTGGGTTTATGACATGGACGCCTGTTTACGCTATTTTTCAATGCGCCCCTTCTCTTCTTCGCGTTAATTGATTTTTCTTTCAAATTGCCCACGAAGCCCAGGAAGCGTTTTATGGCTGCAGAAAAATAACTTTTCTGCGGGCCATGTGCCTTCTCGGTGCCCACTCGTGAACATTCGATAGACATAGACATGTCATAAAACCTCTCGCGTCTCCCTGACCGCCCAAAATCCCGCGACGCGCGGGCCACCCCTTGGGCCTCACTCCCCCGCCATCGCGACATACCGCCAACTTGGAAATTTCAGGGTGGTCGGCATGCTCGCGGGCCAGGGAGGACCGTCCAAGGGGGTAGACCCGTTCCCATTGGCGGAGACCACCACCTTATACCCCTGAACCTTTTTATAAATAAGCGCACCAACGCGGCGCACATCGGATCAAAAAGGGAAAATAGACAAACACTCTTCGAAATAAAGTCTTTTTCATTTAACATAATAAAATACGTGCAACCTCACCACACCACGACTTCATACCAGCAAACAACCCGCACCACGAACCAGCGACAATCCTGCGCCACCACTCTCGAACATACCGCTTGTTCGAAACGCGCGACGCAACACGTACGAATGCTAGCCTTGAAATGTATTAAATACACATTAGGTCAATCGATTTCTGAATTTTTCAGAGTGTCGATAATTATTCCGACCAAGAAAAAAACTGAGAAATTTGCAAATGAAAGCTTGACGGTGGAGCTCCGCAAGGACCATTTATCGCCGCGACACTTCGTTGTTGAAAAATGGATGCGTTTCTCAATGCTCGTATATCATGCATGCAGAATACCATTTGTTCCATGTTAGACTGTTTCAAGATTATCAAACGTTGCAACGGGTGTGGTTATTTATTACTCGCGTTAAATTGGAGTGAAACATTTTACGATACGATTTACTAGTTGTTCGATTATATTTGAAAAAATAAGAATATTTGTTTATTATATAATAGTAGAAGAATACGATGTATGTATGTATTGTGGTTGTAAAATTGAGCAATTAATAGATGCATAGGTGTCGATGAAAATTCATGAAGACGTGGATCGACAGATGTGTCACGATTGATAATCCCCATCTAGACTAACTAGATTTTGTTTCATTAAATATTCACGAGGCTCCAGTACTAATCTATACGTACATTCATCTTTTGAGGTTGACGTTGCTAATACGAGTGATTGCTATAAAAGGCTTATCTACGATCGTTCCTTAAAATAAACTACATAGAGATGTACTGTTACTCGAATAATTACAAATATGATCTACAAATACAAGTTAACCCTTTGAACTCCACTGACGCGAAGGGTTGGCTGAAATTTTACTTCTTGGATTCTGGATTTTATTTATGGGAGGTTAATTTATTTAAAGGCTTACTCAAGTTTCGTTTATTTTAAAATTGAAAGAAATTTACAGCGGAAATGCAATTTTAAAATACATTCCTAAAAATTTAGAATTTTTTCTCCGGGGAGGTAATACTTTTTCCAAAATTTCGCTGCAAAAGTTAAGAAAAATGAAGTGACAATTTCCAATTTTTCTCTTTGAAGCAAAAACGTTTTCAAGAAATTTCACTGCAAAGGCGTGTGCTGGAATTCCAGATCGATCCTATCGAAAAATTTCTCGGAGCTTAAACGGACACGCGAAGAAATATGAAGTAACACTGAACAAAAGATAATTAGAATTAGAATATCTTCTAATCTGTTCATCATGAATTGATATTGTAAGAAGGGAACGCGGCAACAGAGATCGAAATTTGCACACGAGATACAGTTCCTTTCACATTTTACATAGGCAAAAGGTACGGCGACGATCATGGACGAAACGTTACAGACGCCTCATTTACATACGTACGAACGTCAAGAGACAAGATTAATCCCGTGTACCATCGACGACATAACTCTCCTTGATACCCTAACCGACGCGAACTTGGTACCGGGAAACTATCGCCCCGCAACGCCTGTACAACTGATTACTCTTTATACATTCACGCTCCGCGGTACGATTGCGTCACCTTAATATTAATTGGCTAGAGATAACACCGACAAAAGGTCGTGAATTCTCGTTTGTTGAACCTTAACATTGGACGCAATTCTCGAAGCTCTCTTTGGCATTAGTGTACTCGAGCAGACGATATCAACCGGAAACTGAATTTCGTTTATCGCTGAAATGATTCGAGGAAGAGGAAGGGAAAAATTTGTTTCTCGTTTAAAGAGATTGGTTTTTAAATTGATACATACAGAGTGTCCTATTTATAACGATCATCTAAAGTATTTCGCTGCTATTTAAAGTAAGAAAAAATATGATAAGATGATAAAGAAAACTTCCCCAGTGTTCAGGATGTTTCGTTAAAAATGGAGTAATTCTTTTCTAAATTGGTGTATACAAAGTGTCCTATTTATAACGAACACCTGAATAATTTCCACTACCATTGAAAGTAAAAAAAAAAAAATAATAGACTGTATCTGCTGATGATAAAAAAGAAATCCTCAAGGCCACCTTGAAAATCATTTCAACAAAGAATAATAAGAAAAAAAGGAGAATTGTTTTTTACAAAAATAATTTGCATTTCACGCTCGATATTAATAATCGCTATGTTTATCAATCGTCGATACAATTTTTCTTATACGTCTAAACGAGAAGACCCGTGTTAATTTATGCGTACAATAACGAAGACATCGCAAACATCTCTCGTGTCACGTGACGAGATCGAAAAGGATGATCCTCATTTTTATTCATGATATCGACAGAGTCGACGGGGAAACAGGTGTTGGAACACTTACGAGGAAATCCGGTGATTTTAGTCGGTTTTATTACGAAATACCTACGAACGCATTTTACAGTGAAATAAAAATACTCGCGGTGTACCACCTCAGTTGCGTGACGTTCGCTTTGCACGGCCGAGGTCTCAGGCGACGTCTAGCATCGACCTAGAAATTTTTACACGTATATACAGGACCGGTGTAGGCACACCACGTTGGCCAAGTTATTTCAACCACAACTACACTTGCAATGCTACTATTTTACTATTAATAATCCGATGAAAAGTGATTAAGCGGAAAATTCTCGTAGAAAAATCGGTTCGGTTTAGTTTCCTTTAAATTCGTTTATTCAAATGTTCGTTCGTTTAACCTGTTAACTGGTGTAAGACGAGTTAACTCGTCGTTGGTTATAAAAATGTTTAGAACACGATAATTGATTTTTATCGAGAAATTTTGTCGTACACTTGGTTACAATTTTTACTGATTTTTAATCATAAACTAGATATTGAATTTTTGCTGGAAAGTTGAACACGGTTAACAGGTTAGAGAGGATATTATCAAATGGAAATTGTTATTCATGAAAAATGAACGTCGTTGATAATACTCGACATTTTCGATTAAACGGAAGATCTATTTACGTATTTATAGTAATGGCAATGAGTAATAGTAAGAAACGTTAGCCTTCGGAGATTATTCGACACGATAACACTCAGTCGGGACAGGTATGCCACCCGGTTTTTGGAAGACTTAAATCGATCGAGATCAAGCTGACAGACACTTCAAGACGAATACAATTCGCTACAATCTCTCCACTTCTGTAGTCGCGTTACTACTTTTTCTCGATTTCACGCTTGATCTTCGCAGCATACTGCTTCTCAAAGGTTCACCACGCAGAGACGCCCTCATTGAGTTTCTCGCACTGCAGCGGGAGAATGATCTAAACATTGCGACAGGTGGCATCTCTTCGTCGTCGCATTTCCTGTGAAAAGAAAATTCAGTGCTTCGATGTTTCCTTACATTGTTGAGAAAAGAAAATAATGGAACATTTTCAACGGAGAAGGAAAAAAATTTGAAGATCCACGAGTATTCTTTGAAAAAAAAAAAGAAGATTGAAAGCTCGAAGATATGTATGAAGAAGAAAAGCTGGATACTTTTTTCCTCTGCCGACTTCTTTACCTTCCGATACACGGAGCATCCCACATTTTCTGATCCCTTCCAAAGTTCTCCCCGTCCTGCAACGTCTGCGGGAGATCCTTGTCCAGGGTTTCCGGGAGGAATAGAGTGAGAAGACCGCTCATGATTCCAAGGATACCCAGGACTAGAAGAGGCAGAATCGACGATACGACGTCGAGATATACGACGAAAGGTGAAAGGATGCTCGCGACGTATCCCATTATGTGTATCAAAGCTACACCCTGTGCTCTGACGACGGTCGGCAACACTTCGGCCGCGTATTGAAGCCCGATGTTGTACGAAATGTTTATCCAAAATCGACCGAGGATGGCCAAAGTGGCTGCATAGATATCTGAAAACAACGATACCTTCTGTTAAGTTTCCAATCTTCGATACGGAAGACTGATCGTGAGAATGGAAATTTCACCGTGTGATACCGGAGATTTAAGTCTCGCCCTTTGAAATACGAAATTTATCGTTAGAGAAAAGAAAGTTTCGTTTGAATGAAATTTTTTTAGACAAATAGACAAACTCGCGAAGGAAAGATATTCGATCCAAAGTGCTGACGATATACGAGAGAAGACTGTTTAGGGTAAAGTGCTGGAGATTATGTGAAAGAAGGGTGCGTGGACGTTCGAGGATTTTCGTGGACGTGACTGAATATTGTCGAAAAATGTCTACAGAGTTTATCTGAAATTGAGTGCGAGGAACAGAGAAATACACTGAGCCTTTTTGAAAGTGAAACGTGAAAATACCGTAAGTCGATCGTGAGAAGAGTGTGAAAAAATTAGCGAGTATCTTTCCTGATTAAAATCGTGTTCTTCGGTCACTCTCGTATCTCTAAACCACACTCGACGTAATCATCTGAAAATAACCTCTACCTTATCATGAGTAGATAGAAATTATTTAAAAAAAGATCTCCGTCGTTTGACGTTTCTAATTTGGACAATAATTACCGAGAAGAAATGCGGAAGATAAGTGAAAATAGTGAAACAGCGATACGAACTGTTGGAAACCACAGAAGCCCAGATACTGAAGATTCCGGAAACGACCAGGGAACCGCACGCCAGCCATCTTCTGCCCCATCGATCAAGAACGGCCGTGAGGAACGTGTCGGCAGGCAGTTCTGTTGCTGCAGCAATCGTGAAAGTCACGAACACATCCAGGCCCAGATTATCAACGTTTCGCACGTGACCATCGAACACCAACGAAATCGCCATCCTATCTCAAGGAAAAAATGATTGAAACGATTAAAAAACTTGGACCTCTTCACCTCGTGAAATTTCAAACGCACAATTGTTTCCTCAATACCTGTTACACAATGGTACTCACCACGTGACAATAAACAAGACGGTGATTTTACGCAGTCGTGGAGTTCGAAATAGATCCAACACAGAGTACGTTTTGTCTGCCTCCTCTTCTTTGCATATCTTCGCGCAGGTTTCCTGTTGTCGCAAAGTTTCTGCCGATTAACAATCTGTTTTCCGCGAACGTAACGACGTGAAATCGTCGCTACAAAGTGGTCCGAGTATCGTAAACGAATCGAAATTGGCGGAGAGGAGGTTGAGAAATGGAGTTGCTTACTCTGAACCGTTTGTAAACGTCGTCAGGCACCTTGGTGCCGTTTATTCGCTCGAATTTGCCCAGGATCTCGATGGCCTTGTCTACTTTGCCTTGGCTGACCAGCCATCGAGCACTCTCTGGTATCAACCACGGCGTGGCTACTGCCAAGACCAATGGAACCGACGTGACGATGCAAGTCATCCTCCAGTCGGCCAGAAAATAGGCGATCCAGGGAAGAACGCAAGCGGCGAACGTGAAAAACATCGCTATCGACATGTTCGCCACGAACGTCCGCCATTTTGGTCCCACGTACTCTAACACTGAAAACACAAGAACAACGTCGAGGCAAAAAGATACTTACACATGTATTCAACGGAAAGACAAAATGACGAATTGTGCAGTTTAAGAAAATAGAAAATTTGCTCGCCATTTTGGTCCGTTACACTTGCACGTTAAAAATCTCCGAAGATGGAACGGAAGAGTATGGAAAGAAGAGGAGAAAAGGTGTTATGCACCGTTGGAAGTTTTTCCGTGAGAAATAATTTCAATGGGCATATAGTAGTTTGATGATTTCGATAAACGAAAAAAAGAAGAAGAAGAAGAAGAATGCAGGCAACACGAGGATAATGAAGCCACTATGAACGGGCGAGTAATTGAAGGTGATTCTTGATTAGAAACAAACCACCATTAAGTGACCAACACGGTTGCTTCATTAAGAACAATTACTCCCTATTTTGCGACGAGTACAAATAGACGTCGTTCACTGGTGATAAATTTCCACGTATTTACCACTTCCTGTCCTATTACACAATCAGCGAGTTAATGTCGCGTTCCCAACTTATTGGACGTACCCACGAGACGCTAATTTCGCGAAGCCTACGATTCGTGACATAGAAAAGTCACTCGAATGGTAGCTTAATTACTCAAGGTCGTCCTCGTTCGTTCTCATCCTGTTCTTCCGGCGTGAGAATGAGAAAATTCACAATGTCGTCTGTCGGTGTTCGAAGAGAGAAACTTCGAGACGTGATTTTTACCTTCGTTGTTGCGTTACGAAGAGAAGGTAAGATGAATAAAAATTGCACCCTTTTCTGAAGGATCGTCTATAATTCGCCGTCTTCGCCTGGAATTGCACGATTCTGTATTAAATTAATTACGCGCGTATTTAGAACTGTTTACAGGGAATTGTTGAACTGCGCGATAGAGAATTCGGAAGAAACGATTACCGTTGAATTATTTTCATTTAACTGTAAATATACGTTGGAGTAAGAAACCAGCACACGTTCGACTTACGTAAAGTCGATGCTTTGTCTGAAACGAAGCCGTCAGTTTCGCCGCAATTAGCTTCGTTTGTACATTCATTGGGCATAATTCATTCGGCTGAAATGGACGACGGTGTTTGCAAATTTGATTTCGAACGTTTCACACGTTCCTTCGCGCAAATTGTTTAACCCTCTGCAACGCAACGTGACTTGGAAGTTAAGTGTACTGTATATCTATGTTTTGAAAATTATTTATAATAATTTTCGATGCTTGCTTCTCTCGTGAAAATGTCCACTCTAATTTTTCATCTATAATTTCGTCTTTTTCTCTTACCATCTACCTTCGAATTATCTCTGATTTCGTTCTAAATGAAATACTACAAATTTTTCTTTCATCCACCATCTACCTTCGCCTTTCCCTCTCCAACGAACTCTTTTCTCCAGTTTATCGCCTAGCATACTCGCGATTATCCTCCGCGTGTACAGAATAATCAAGGAGAAACACAGAAAAGGCTTCCCTGAAACCCTCCGTATCAAGGTTTATCGCCTTCAACGATAACACGATTCACACGGAAAAACGCGTTCCCTTTGCTCCGACGGAAGTTTTCCACATTGTTTTCGTCGCTGAAAACGGTCCAGCGGCAATTTCGTATCGTCTTGGTCGATCTCGAAAACGAGACACTCTACTAAAAAGGAACACATCCTTGTGTGATTACACGGGCTTACAGGTAAATTACGGACAAAACCGTATTAAATAATAACAATCTCGACGATATCTCGCGTGTTGTCCGAGCTCGTCCGTTCTCCAATCGATCCGAGAAACGCGAGCAAGACACAAGGACACAAGTCGTTGTAGCATTTCGAAACTGATTAACCTTTCGTTTTTTTCCTTCTTTTTTTGTAACTGTCAAGTCCACGCTGGTTCTCCCGACACGCTAAGCTTTACTTGACGCTTGTATTCGGAGTACTAAGTTAATTGAAAGCGTACACGATGCTAACGAGCATGCTCGAGTGATTTACCGTATCGAACCAGCGATAAATTACGAAAGGAAGAAAGGATCGCGTTGTCGATATCGAATTCGCCTGTATCCGTTAAGTGAGTTTTTCTTTCAGCGTGTAAAATTAGATAGCGAAGATTTGTGTCGTTGATTGGGAGAGGTGAAAAATCTCAAGGTGCCGAATGTCTGAGTGAAATAGAAATGGTGACAAATAGTTGGTAAAATTGGGTGGAGAAATTTCTCGTCTTCAATTTTCGATTTTTATAATATTGACTATTTGAAGAATATTCATATTTAGGTACACACAGTGGACTATTATCAAAAGTGTTTTTGCATGCAACAGAAGATTAGTCGAAATCATTGGAGTGTTCAGTTGTCGAGGCTGAGTAGTATTTACTTGTTCTTGAACATGTTACGTACAAATAATACAGTATCTCATAAGTGAGTCCATCTTTAAAAAGATCACTACTGCCGTATAATGGTCCTTTTCATACCTCAATACCTTTCATTCGACAAATTTTTCTCTTACCCAAAAACGTTCGATTAATAATCAATTTAAGCAAAGTACAAGAAAATTTTTAAAAAAATTGATCATTCTTAGCACGTCAAATAGAAAAAAATGTGGGAAGTAGAAGGTTGACGCAAAGAATAAAAAAGTGAAACGAGATAAAAATTCATACTAGAAGAATAAAAAAATCGATCGATCGATGCAAGAAAAATAAAAAATTAAGAAATTACTATTTTTTAGTAATTATTTCAGATGTTTCTTTTTTTAATTACTCTTTAGCCCTCTACTGTCGAGGTGGTGTCTCATAGACTCCGCTGATTCTACCTTTTTTTGTTTTCTTCCATTCTGTTTAGAACTCAACGTTATCGTATTAATCATACAACGTTCATTAGGAAAGTGTGTGATAAAGGTAAATCAGTAAGAAAAGTTGTCGGAAATGTTCGATATTTATGTATAAACTAACCGGAAGTTGAGGAGTTTCGTAGACTCTGTAACGGGCTTTACGTCCCAAAAATGGTGTCTCGACAGTAGAGGGTTAGACTACTTTGAATGTGAAACCAAAGCAAGAGAGACATTACCATCCGAGCAACGATAAAATTCGCAAAGAAATCCTTTCCATTGCAAGCACAATTCCCTTCCGCTCGTAACTTCGATCTTTATCTACATAAATAATACTTCTTATCTATATTACGCTGCATCTCGAGCGCGCATATGGTCATTTACAAAGCAACGACCTCGATGATGTAATTTGTTACGCGCTGTGAAAAGGAATGAATAATCGCTATCTCGTTTTCTATCTGAAATTTTGCTTTCGCCTCACTATCGACCGGGTCGTTCACACTCGATCCAATCTTTCCTCCTCGACCGACCTTGACGATTAGGAAATCCGCGTGACGGGACAATTAACGAGTACACAAAACGTCACGCGAATCTCGTCAACTTGACCCAGTTTTCGACGGTGGAACAAGCCGTTTCGGGGGGAAAAAAAGCCGTAAATTTGTCCAGCCTCGATTTGAGTCATCGAGTCACGGTTAATGGCTCGCGCGCTCCACTGTATTTAGTTTCGTCGGTTTCAATTTTCCCCACTGCACGGAACAGCGAGAGGAGAGACACCCTGCTGTTCTCGATGGAAAGCGACAGGTTTCGGTGACTTTTGGTGTGGGATGAAAATTGGTCTCGTTAGTTTTACCGTCGACTGGTAGCTTCTCTATGGCAGCTGCGAACAATTACTCGTCGTTACGTTCACTTTCTACTTGAGACTTTGAACATACGCAAAGTTCGATACACCGCGCGGTCTCGTTTGGAAATCGGGTGGAACTTGGCGCGATCGACGATGCGTTTCAGCCCTTTCGCTGATTTTTAGGGAACACTTGCCGGAAGTCTCGGAGGATTTATTTGATTTCTTTCATTGTTATCTTGATTTGCGAGTAATTACAAAGGACCGACGATTTTTGAGATTTGAAATGTTCCATAAAAATCGCAGATCGTGGAAGGGTTGAATGCGTCGTCGATCGGTCCAAGTTCCGTTCGATTTTAAAAAGGAGACCGAACTTTAATTGAATTTCTTTGCTCGTTATCTTAATTCGCGAGTAATTACAATTTGGTAGATGGTGAAAGGCGATAATGATAAAATGATGTTAGAAGGGGTTAATCGTTGGAATTTTTGATTTGGAAAAATATACTACGGCATACTGAGTCGTTAGAAAGTTTAATGAAACACCGTGGCATTGTTGTGAATCGTGTTGTTGCGACATGGTAAAGGCACGAGTGATTTAAAGCGAAAATTTAAAAAGCAGACACTTGGTTTCTCAAGTGTACACATATTTCACTGTCTTCATAGCTTCGTGCAATGGTCAGTTGCATCGGAATGTCCAGTTATTGCATAGCAAAAGGGTACTTTGTTGAAAGAGTGGAAGGATTCGAAAGCACGTACTTGAAGGAAGGTCGCTCGTAAATCAAGCATAATCGAAGAATTGTGAAGGTAGCATCGATGTCTTAAGATCTTCCTATTCCTGTTAACACACCTAACATACTCACCTACCTCGCACATCTCCCGAACACTCGATTCAATTACACACTCTAACGATTAAAATGGAACAAAGGGCACAAATAGGAATCCAATAAAGAATCGCCGAAGAAAGATAAAAATGAAAATCAAGAATCCTGCTGTAACTTAAGAAAAAAAACTGTGATACGAAGAAACACCAAGGGAACAATTTAAAAAGTTGAAAGTGAAGAAAAAGTGAAAAAGTGAAGAATCCTGCTGTGACTTAACAAAAACTGTGAACCATGAAGAGGCACCAGAGAAACAGTTTAAAAAGTTGAAAGGTGAAAATGAAAGAACGACTTCGCGAAGAAAGACCGAAAAAGAAATGAAAATGAAGAATCCTGCTGCAATTTGAAAAACGAAGAAACGCCGAGAAAGAAGATTGAGAAATTGTCCGAAGCGTTACCTAGTATGTACATCATAGTGAAGCAATTATCGAAGGCGAATCCAACGAAGAACCGGCACAAAGTGAACTGCCAGAAGGTGCTCGTGAAGGCAGTGGCCACCCCAGCGAGGAACCCCATGCAATTGGCTCCGATCAACGCTGGTATCCTGCCGTATTGATCGGCGATCCATCCGAAGATCAATCCTCCAAAAATGGCGCCCACGAAGAAGACACTTTGAGCTACGGTCGGCAGAGCGCCGTGCTGGCAAACCCATTCCAGCTGTAACAGAGAACTACAGATGGAATAATTTACCCCTCGCGACGAACAGAATTTTTCAGCTTCGATCGAAAGAGTCTTCTGTGTGAAAAAGCTGGAGAAAATCTCGGACGAGACGTGCTCGTCCTCCTGTTCCACGGAGAGAAACTTGAGATTTCGCGCGTCCCTGTGTAAAAAACGCGAGCTTTCTTCCGGTAGCTTGGAACCCCTCGAGGAAAAGTTTTCTCACCGGAGAACAATGCCAGACACGGTTCAGTCTATGGAACAAAGAATCCGAGAGGACGTTACAGCACATTCGTTGATCTTAACACACCGCGAACTGTTCGAGCAGATCCGCCACTCTCTACCACATTTTTTTTCCTTTTTTGTGACAAAACACTGTCTCGTTTTGAGCAAGTTTGTTTTTCGAAATATTTGTAAGCTTCTTTTTTGGTTTTCATCGACGCTGAGGAAGTTTATTCGGTGTAATACACTTTGTTGGAAATTTTCGAACAGAAAAATAATTGAACGCGACTTGAATCTGACTTAAACTCTTTTTTTCAATTTCTTAGTTGTCATTTAGTAACAGATACTAAACTGCGATTAATTTCTATTCGACTCTTCAAGTGAAACATCTCACCGATGATCGCGAAAGGGTTACTGAAATCTCAATTTGGAAAAATTGAATCCAGGAAAACGCCTGAAACTTCTCCCTTTTAGAAATGGGACGAAGAAAGGACCTGTTCGTTGCCGAGGGGTGAAGGGAGAAAGGATAGTAGAAAAGAGGAAATTGCAGGTGGAACGTTTCGTGTCTCACCTCGGTAGCCACAGTTGCATAAGGGACACTGGTGTAATTGAATTCCCAGCCGTGCTGGCAAGCTTTCGTAGGCCAGGACGGGTCCGGCACGTGGCTTCCATTTAACAGGATCTCCGTGTAATTTACATCGTACATGCTGCATCTCGAGTAACCTTCGCGGTTGACGGGTATCGCCAACGAGAGCCTGTAACGATGGAGAAGAGAGTGTAGACTGGTTCAGGGACTTCGATGCCTACATATTGTCGTTCTGATGCGTTCAACGATTACCATTCTCTTCGAAATTTTATGAGAAATGGAAGAAGTTTGAGAAAGCACAAGGTAGAACGAAAGAAAAACGTCCAAAAAGTTTCGAACCTTAATTTTTTAATATATTTCTTTAATAGAAATTAAAGGAAAGCTGAAAATTTGAAATTGAACCATCGTGAAAGGGTTGATTGGAAGAATTTGGGCTTCCTAAGGTTGATGATAGAATATTTATTATTTGAGTATTTATGATTGCTGATTGATTAGGATAGACATTGGTTAATTTGCGTTCATTTTAGTCTTGGAATATGTTTAACGAAATTATGGAACATCGTCCTTCGTCTGTTCGTTGAAAATCTTCGAACTTCTTTCCTACTTTTAATACAGTGGAGGACAAAAGTATTCATACACCCTATAAAACGGAATAACATTTTTAAAATTGGGCCAAACGACTTGAGTTTTTTTGAGAACTTCGAAAGAATAGTTCACTAGATGACGTGTAGAAACAATTTTGAAAAAACTGCAATTAGTCGGAATCGCGAAGAAAATAGCGATCTGAGCTCGTAAGGAAAATTGAAAAAATACGATTTCTGGATCTATGTCAATTATACACATGCTGAAAATTTCATCGAAATCAGTTAAAGATTGTGAAAATCGCACTATTTCACGACTTTCGGCCTAGGACTGTAATAAATCTGCAGATTCTCACATCTTTCGATGCCTGTCGCTTGTTTCTCAAATGTTCAGCGTGTGTATAATTGACATAGATCTACAAAACGTATTTTTTAAATTTTCATTACGAGCTCAGATAAAAAAGTTGTAAAAACGACCTTCGCTATTTTCTCCGCGATTCCGACTAAATTGCAGTTTTTTCCAAAAATTTTTTACACGTCATCTAGTAAACTAATTTGTCTAACTTCTAAAAAACACTCAAGTCGTTTCGCCTAATTTTAAGAAAGTTGTTCCATTTTATAGGGTGTATATATACTTTTGTCCTCCACTGTAAGAAACAATGTTTCTACTCGTTTAAAAGAATAATAGACCATTGATATTAATTTTTCAAACAGTTTATCGTAATTACAAATTGAAAATCGCGATGGAAGAATTTCCATGAAGAAGAGTTTAAATTGAATGTAAGATACATCTGATAAATAATCAATATAATTGCATTGGACAACCGCAACGTTGACGTATGTATAATAGCCAACGAATGTCGAAACCGCTTATTTGTTAACAATGAACCTCGTGAAGTTAATTTGTCGACGGTAATTATACGTCTTTTCTGATGTGCCTCGTTTCACCGAAATAGGAAGTCGATGTCACGATAACCGACGTTGCCTGAATCAAACTGACCCTAATCACTTGCACATACAATAGCGTAACATAATTGTGCAGTGACATCGTTAAATCTGCCTCTCTATGTTTTAATTATCTTACAACTGGAACCAGAATCCTGACACAGTTTGACAATGAAACATAATGTAGAAGAAAGGAGTGAGGATTATTACATAAATGCCATCGTTGCTCCTCTTATCTTCGCTACTTCGAAAAAATGGACAAGTAAATTGACAGAAAAATTTCTACAAATTCTCCCGTCCGTTGATATAATTCTTCTTCTCTGGTACAGATATCGTTCAAATCTACGTCCACCGAATAAACTCGAACTCTGTCAGAACTTACACTTGAAAACAGAAAGCAAGATGAATAACAGTTTCGAAAATAATTCCTCGAGAAAGCTTGAAACCGCTAAAAATTGACTTACCTAACAACGAGACACTCGAGTGCATCGCAATGAACGTTACAATCGTGGAACAACTCCACCGGTCTTCCTAGAAAGAATTACCGACAAATGCATCTAGTAATCGCGAATCTTAGAATTCTGACTGAATTACTGGACGAAAAAAACTTGGCTGGAACGCCATCCGCGTCTAATCACGTCTCGCACCATCGCGATTAATCGTGTAACCTTTGCGTGAGAAATGAACGAACGAAGGAACGACGACGCGTTGCTTCGACGCCGATTGCATTATGCACACGTCCGCTGCATTTTTCCTTCTGGATTCACCGTTACCAGCCTCGAGATAATGGGCAGAAAAAGTGGCTCCACGAGGAAAGTGATGGCAGGCTCTTCGTAAGATTCCCAAACACGAGCGAGCGAGCATTTTGTCAAACGTCTGAAACGCTCCGAGAAGATATTGGGGCTCAGGATGACCTGGCTAGGGGAAAAAGTTGACCGAACTTGATGAATTAGTCGTACCATTTTAGCAATTCTAACTATTTCCTTTTGCCAATCTTCGATCATGAACTCTGAATTGATCACTTTTTTTTTTTTTTTTAATTAATTCTCGCGTTACGAATTCAATGCAAAATCGAAGCCTCGTTGTTTCGTGGTAATATAAATTGTTGGGAATATCGTCGGTATCGTTGGTATTGTTGTTGCAAGGATACAGTAGATGTCACCGGAAATTTGGCAAACCTTTGGGAGAAAGGGGGGACTGTCTTTGCCAACCGGGAACGATACGCGAGAGTCGCACGAATTTGCGATGAAATTGAGAGTGAATCGAGAGAGTGTATCTTGTAACGATGTAACTAAATATTTGAAAAAGTGTCATCGAATAAAATTTCACACAAGAACACGCCTCTGTTCTCTCGGAAACGAAATTTCTTCGGCGCTCGATCATTTCGCGCAGGTAGAAAATAACGAGCGTCGCCTAAAAGCAGAGTAGTTTCACGTGGAGAATTGCGTTATTATTCATCAGTATGCACGAACAGCGTGGTAACTGTGTAAACATAGTCAACAATTGTTAAAACGATTCTCGGCCGAGCTTCGACGCCCGTAAATCCAGCCCTCTCGTTTGAAATTTTAATTGCATCCAACGGCGAAACCGTTTCCACCGGTTTTTGCATAATTACTCCGGCAAATTTCTTCACGTGACAAAACTGTCTCGCGTTCTTTCACGCGCAATCAACGATATCAAGCCCGAATGTTACGTGTTCAACGTGATTTTTCAACGTTCACGCTCTCATTGTTCCGCGGCGAAGGTTCTGCGCACGCGCGCCTCGATAATACACGCTTTAGAGGAACTTTACCCGCGGCTTGTATTATACAAACACGTTGCAAAACAACATCCTTTGGCTCGCGAAACAGCTTAATAACGAATCCGTGATGCAATCGGTTCGCACGCGTTACGTGAAAAAGCCAACGATTTCCAATCGCGGCGCGTTCGCTGGAACACCGTGAAAGCTAATTTGATAATCACCTCGAAAAAAGCAAACCCTGTGTTTCTCGGATGGTACATTGTTCGACGTGATATCACGTACGGTTGATAAGCTTCTACGGTAGAAGATATCTTTTAGGTAAATCGCAAATGTCGATGTTTTGTATAAAGTGCAGAGTTATCTGAAGAGAACGTGACCGAAGAGATTTTGTAATTAATTCCTTTGATGGCTGCCGTTGAAAAAAAAAGTGGTCCTTGAACAAGGTTTATCTGTCGGTAAAGGAGAGATTTTTTTTGTTTCGATAATAGAGCCGATATGCGGTTATTATATTTAGTCAGTTTCACCGTTTTAAGCTGAGAGAAAAAGGATATTGCATAAGAATAAATTCTTAGTGTGATCGTATCGGTCTTTGCATCCTTCTATGTAAATAAAATTTCTAATCTTTGAATCTTTGTAGAATTTTTCAGACAATCTTCACCACAAATTTATTCGTAACGTCCTTTGCAATATTTCAGAGATTTTTCTTAGAAAAAAGTATATCTCTTCTCGAAAAATTCATCGGTTTTCGAATAAAATAGATCAAATTTCGAATGTTTCCTCGCTCGTTTCTATGCAAATCTATTTGTAACGTTCTCCATTTCACAGATTGACCAAAAGTATATCCTTTTTTATAAATTCGTCAGTTTTCGAATTAAAATAGAAGAATCGAGCGTGTAAATGTTTTACGAGCAACAATATAAATTTCCAGCGATCGTCTTCATTTTTCTATCCCACGTACGTTTCATCAGAGTGAAATGTACCTAAAGTCCAAGTCTCTGCAATACTCTTCAACGGGTTGCCAACAAAGTTTCTCGTTACACGACAACTTGGCCATAAATCCCGTTTCAAATTCCACGTCCAATTCATTAAAATAGAGTTTCTAAT